GTGAGGTGTAAGTTATATATTCGATAGACCCTTCCCGTCTTTCATTCTGTGAGGTGTAAGTTATATATCCGATAGACCCTTACCGTCTTTCATTCTGTGAGGTGTAAGTTATATATTCGATAGACCCTTCCCGTCTTTCATTCTGTGAGGTGTAAGTTATGTATTCGATATACCCTTCCCGACTTTCATTCTGTGAGGTGTAAGTTATGTATCCGATAGACCCTTCCCGCTTTTCATCCTGTGAGGTGTAAGCTATATATCCGATATACCCTTCCCACCTTTTATTCTGTGAGGTGTAAGTTATATATCCGATATACCCTTCCCGTCTTTCATTCTGTCTGGGTTCGTTTTATATCCGTTATACCCTTCCCGTCTTTCATTGTGTGGGGTGTAAGTTATATATCCGATATATACCCTTCCCGCCTTTCATTCTGTGAGGTGTAAGTTATATATCCGATATACCCTTCCCGACTTTCAATCTGTGAGGTGAAAGTTATATATCCGATATACCCTTCCCGCCTTTCATTCTGTATGGTGTATGAGTTTCTCTCTCCCCGTCTCTCTCTCTCTCTGTCTCTGTCTCTGTCTCTCTCTCTCTCCATGTTTAATTCGGTCGAATCTCTTGTCAGAAAGTGCCCACAGTGCGGAGAGTTTCTGGACTTTTGTGAGTCTCTCTCTCTCTCTCTCTCTCTCTCTCTCTCTCTCTCTCTCTCTCTCTCTCTCTCTCTCTCTCTCTCTCTCTCTCTCTCTCTCTCTCTCTCTCTCTCTCTCTCTCTCTCTCTCTCTCTCTCTCTCTCTCTCCCAAATGTGATTTGTTTGGCTTCAGCTTTGAGCCGTACCCAATTCAGCTGAACTATGCAACCAATTTAAAGTAAAGGATCATGTATAAATGCAGCTAATTTCACAGAGACAGAGAGAGAGAGAGACAGAGAGAGAGAGAGAGACGTGGAGAGAGAAACTCACTCACCCTTACATTCGGTTACAGCGTTTAATATGTACTTGATTGTGACATTGTACTTTTTGCATGAAATTCAAAACCTCTACTTCTCTGTGTCATATTGTTTCGTCAAACGTTATCATAGTATTGCGCGGAAATCTAAAATAGAATATTGATGTTATGTCATAACTGGTGTCTTTTAAATATATACTCTCCCAAAAAAGAAACGCATATAGGAATTTCAACTGTATTTTTATGTTTATTTTGAAACATCTTGTAGGCTTTATGAGTCAATGAAATATAGCGAAATTGCACACTGGGAATGCAGACTTATCCGTCTTTGGCACCAACTCGAGGAAAGTCAGTTTGAGTGTCACGTGGAGACGTGTGGTGGCGCTGAAGTGAATACCTCGTGTGACCACCGTGGGCATCCGGAACTGCACGGCATCGCCTTGGCATCGAACGAATAAGTCTCAGAATCTCGTGTTGCCCAATCGCAGCCCACTCTGCCTGTAGTGCCTGTGCGAGTTGCTGAAGTGTCTGGGGCTGAGGGTTACGGCGTCGCACCCGTCTGTCCAGGGCATCCCGGTGATCTTGATCGGGGCCAGGGGAGCACATTGATGTTGTGGTTCTGGAGGAAGTCTCTAGTGTGACGTGCTGTGTGGGGCCTGGCATTGTCCTGTTGAAACAACTCCCTCTGGCGATCAATGATTGGAAGGAGGTGTGGGCGTAGGATTTCGTCACAGTACCGTTGAGCTGTCAGGTTGCCCTGGATCATCACCAAATCACTTCTCCTACGGCAGGTGATCGCTCCACACATCATAACACTTCCCCGGCCGAATCTGTCCACCTGGGGAACGCAAGCGTCGGCGAAACGTTCACGTCGACGTCTGTACACCCGCATTCTTCCATCCCGTCGTTCCAATAGAAATCGTGATTCATCACTGAACCAGATTCTACGCCAATTCGGTAGGTTCCAGGCCTGAACGTTGGTGCACCATTGAACTCGATGTCGACGATGTTGTTGTCGAAGCACAGGGCCAAAATAAGGTCTTCTGGCAGGTAAGCCAGCCTCTCTCAACCTGTTCCTGACGGTCGGTGCAGAAAGCCTCCTCAATCCGGGTATTTGTCGAGCGGTACTGGTCGCCGTAGCTGTTCGATGACGCAGGTGATGTACCCGGATGTAGCGATCCTGCGCCGCAGTGGTCGCTCGAGGTCGCCCACTACGAGGGGCATCTGCTACCGAATTCTGCCGGCGATATCTCTCCGAGAGCCGTGAAATGGTGCTTTGGTGAACATTCATGCGTCGGGCAACTGCACGTTGAGGCTGGCCAGCTTCAAGCAAACCAATGGCGATATGACGGTTGGGTTCACTTAGACGTGGCATTTTGCGTTCGTCAACAATATTCCAAATAAGTGAATAATCGAAAATTGCTATTTTCATGATGCGTTTCTTTTTGGGGAGAGTATATTTCAGCAGAGGTTATCAGTATTTAGATGTGTGCTGTATTGCATGCAATTCTTGGCATTCTGCCAATGAGCTACTTAATGGGCGATGGTGTAGCCTAGTGGTTAAAGCGTTCGCTCGTCACGCTGAAGACCCGGGTTCGATTCCCACATGGGTACAATGTGTGAAGCCCATTTCTGGTGTTCCCCATTGTGATATTGTTGGAGTATTCCTAAAACCGACGTAAGACCATACTCACTCACTATACACTACTTTAGATACTAACATTGCTACACAACTCCACAATCTCACAAGGAAACTCTGTGTGTCGAGACAAATCAACAATTTGACGAAAAGATTTGAATGAAAATGCCCAGACGTTTACCCTTTCGGTGAATTCAGGATAAATGTGAACAAATTATATGTTGGCTGTTTCTAACAAAGAGAGTGGATTTCATTCAAAGCTGTAACCTGAGACGTATTCCGTACAAAGGTAGTACAGTCATTGTGAGCTGGTCCACGGCGACACACCAGCTCTATCGAACCTTGACAAAACACATTTTTAACGTGGTTAAACAGAATTGCTTACACACAAAGAACGTGGATTATCTATTTTTGTTCCTGACGTGTTTTGTGCATAGTAGACAGACAGATTTTTCAACGTTGTTTAAAGCATTATATCTATATGAAAGCATAGTTTACGATCCGACATGTTGTCATGCTGAGCTGCACCCAAACATGAAAAATACTTTTGCTGGAAAATTAAATAACATAAATGACTCATTTATAATAACATGTAACTCAAGAGCACAAATACGAAAGTAGATATTGTATGTGGTGACCGGACAAAATCCACCCGGACAAAATCCACCCCAAAATTGCCACCCCGGACAAAATCCACCCCTTCTTAACCAAACAATGGACAAAATCCACCCTTCTCAAATTGCTATTGTTAGAAGTTTTAGTGTGTCCTGATCTTTGATCAAGTTGTTTTTCTCAAGCATTGCAAGCATTGTTTTGATAGCATTTACGTTTTCCTAATTGGCTGTATCTGTTGTGTTAGGTTCTCATGTTAATTGTTTATGGGTGTTTCTATCATCTCACCCAAAGTACGTGGCGTAAGATACAATCCTTAGGTATAGTTTCCCATTATCGCAACAACGAAGACGCAAGAGAGTTCTGTGCTATGATCGATGGGCTTGCTTTCTTGCCTGTCACCGACGTCGAGGATGGAATGGCCTACCTAAAAGACACTGTCTCCGAGGACCTTGAGCCACTGGTTGACTACTTCGACAAGACGTACGTCTCAGGCACCTACCGCCAGATTCGCCGCCCAGGACAATCGTCACTGTGTTTCCGCCGCATCAAGCCGATGTATCCTCCACAAGTTTGGAACGTCCATGAGATCACTCTTGAGGGTGGTTCTCGAACAAACAATGTGTGCGAAGGTTGGAACCACGCGTTCAAGAAACTGATAGGACATCGACTGTCTGAGAAAGGACAACGGTCTTGCATGTACAGCCATCTACAGGTCCGAACGAGGTCAGCCCCCTAAGAAAAGAACCAGAACAACCACCAAACGTCTCCAAGAACGCCTTGAAGGTCTGTGCAAAACCTACGCAGCGAAGGACAAGACACTAGAGGACTCTCTCCGCGGCGTCGGCCGTTGTTTGCGTTGTTGAAATGTGGCAAGATGTTTAGTCATAGATATGTCTGAATGTGTGAAAATGTATGCTGTTGTCATATGTATATATGTATTGATGCATGAATGATTCATAAATGTGAAATGTGAAAATGTGCAATTGTCATATGTATATATGCAAAAAATGTGCTTACATATGTATTTTGGTTGTTTTTGTTATCGATTATGAATGACTGATATGAATAAAAATGTTTATATAATTTCATTTGTCTATTTCACCACACGTTCTTCTTACCAAGTCACTTTCTCAGTTCGATACTTAAAAGCAATGTCATTATTTAGCGTTGACAGAATGTCTAACTGTTGTCACAGACAAAACTCATTGTCTGTTGTATTGACACCTATATGTCTGCCTGCCTGTCTGCTAATGACAATATACAATACACAACTTCGATCACTGACCACATGCAATTTGAACTTAACACCTATCAGGCTATACACCATAAACAAAACGCATTGATTTATGGCCCGAGTTCGGTCTCTGTCACATTATGTAATTACACAGACAGGCAGGTGTGATACTTGTACACATGACATGTTATGATGTCTGTTGATTGCAAAATGTTATACACAAAAAAAATGAGCATGTATTTACAAAACCCAACATCTCTATATATACACACACAATGAGCTGTGAGGGCATCTGCAAATGAACCAGCCGTTACACTTGAGTGCACACCCACCCGCTCTGACTGGGTTCGGTATCCCGGCTGCTTCGTTTCTTGGGAAGTAAACCCAGGTACAAAATATTGCACTTTTGATTTGCGATTGTACGCTTATAATTTCGTTTATATGTTTTTTCATAATCAGCAATGTATATAATATGTCATGAATAAGTGATAATTGTGTTTTAATTATGTTTGATTTTTTGGTTGCATGTGACCTTTAACTAAATCATATTCCGCGCATAGATGGCCTTAAGTTTTAGGGTTAACCGGGAGCAGTACTGCAGTAAAGAGGGTTTTACGAATTCGTGTACTGTTTATCCCAGTTCTGGTCGTATCCCAGTTCTGGTGGCTACAGACGTGGACTGGGATCAAAAGAAAAGACTAGAACGCAGTAACCCATTCCGTGCTGGAACGCGGTTATCTGGTTGCACAATACCCGGAAGTGTGTTGAAGTGATATTTGTGTTCAGCTCGCCAGTTCAGTTAGACATTCTACACTTCTGCCCGCATTTGGCTGGTTGTACACAGTGTATATTTCGATAATTCGTTTCGGGTGAGTATAAGAATTTGAAAACTGATTTGATTCTTACAGTCCGTTTGAATCAGAAACGGACCGATGAATAGCAAATTTTATCACTGTACAAAATTGCCACATAAATATAAATAGTACACATGTTTATCATTTACTAATACCCAACAGCTTTCTTATATTTGAAAATTTTCCGGACTCCACCAAAAAAGTTCTTTAAGAAACTATCATCATTGAAAACGCAAGGGTTGTTACCTGTCGCGGCGGGGTGAAACCACAGAAACGGAACAGCCAGTCAAAAGCTATTCCGGGAGACCTGTCGGTTCCTCGTCTGTCGTAGTGTCATAGTCACGACTTAAAGGGGATGACAAGTGGTGCCACAGTTGCCTGTTGTAAGCCATCCCGAGACCAGTAACCATGTTCAATGATGTTAGCTACCTTGTTGACACAGTTTTGCCAAGTTTCAGTCGTGATTTTGTTAAGGGATTCCTTAACCAAAACCTCTACGTCACGTAATCGAAAAGTTGTGTTTGATCTGGCAACATCTCCTTTGACAATACCCCAAATCATTTCAATGGGGTTAAGGTCACAGTGATACGGTGGAAGTCGCAGAATATCGTGACCCTTACTTTTTATGTAACTGTATACATTGTAGAAAGGTTAACCTTTGTGGGGTTTATGATCTCATATAGCTGAGGCTTCGTTGCCTTTGAAATTTGATATCAAATCACCTTTTCGACTGTTCGATGTCGGGGCTTTACTGTCGGGGTCCTGCACGCTGTGTCATGGGGCATTGTCCATTACGATAAAAGACGTCTCTGGTACAGCTGGTACCAACTTGTTTTTAACCCAGTCGAGGAAAACCGCACCATTCATCTGGGAATGGTAGTCTCTGTTATCTGTGGACTTTGCCCTGAATACCAAATCGCAGCCTGGGAGAAAGCCTTTGCTGGAGCAACCAGCATGGAGAATGATTAGTCTCTCTCCTTTCCCTAGAGGCAGCTTTCTACGTGACCCCTTATCACCCCCATCGGGTACCCACTGACTGCTGGCAGTGTGCGAGGCATTGACCCAGGTCTCGACCAAGTACATTGGCTCGAACCCTTCCTCGTGCTTCTTCTTTATAACCCTGAGAAAATTATTTCTCAAGCGAACGATGTCAGGGCGTTCACAGAGTACTGACCTATTCTCCCCCGAAATCTTCTTATAACGATACCCGAAAGAGTGTAAGAGTCGCCAGAGTGTTTACTTTGATACTCTGAGGTTGTGTTCTTGCTTCAAATGCTTTTTGTTTTCAGTACCCTTGCTGATACTCCTAAAGCTTTTGCTGCCCGCTTACGGAATTTATTAATGGCATAAAATGGTTTGCCCATTTCGGCTTCAGCACGGAAAAAGTCTTTAATCATCAACTGTTTCACGTCAGCATTCAACTCCTTTTTTCATTAGGCATGTGTATCCCATGCACGACGAGATAGTGGCTGTTCCGATTCTGCGGTTTCACTCCGCCGCGACAGATAACAACTTTTGCGTTTTCAATGATGATAGTTTCTTAAAGAACTTTTTTGGTGGAGTCCGGAAAATTTTCAAATATAAGAAAGCTGTTGGGTATTAGTAAATAATAAACATGTGTACTATTTATATTTATGTGGCAATTTTGTACAATGATTCATCGGTCCGTTTCTGACTCAAACGTTTTTTTTTTATAGTTTTGTATACTTCTGATAATGGTGGTTCTGATCAGTGTATTGATCGTTCATCACACTCCGGCGCAGTGATTACTTAGCATAACATCACTGCCACAGGCTAATTTACATATCACGTGGCCGGACTTTTCTCTTGTTTGTAAACAAACGCGCGTATTCATAATAAGAAGAGACTGACCTTACGCAAGTTTTCGATGCGCCCTTCACAATGTTTTACATTGTTACATATATATTCTTCCACAACTGCGACAGTAAGGTTTATGACAGTACTTATTTAGATATCAAACTGGCTGGATCGTTTGCTCTCCGTCGGGTTCGATGACAGCACGTGGAGCCGTACAATCTACGTAAACCAAGGATCGCTACGCAAATTGAAATAGTGTTACACGTTTTAGGATATTTTCTCAGTGAAACTAAACCATTCTATCAAAGATGTTTAATTAGATGTGTAGACTCGTCAAAAATAAAAGAGTTAAGAAATATGTACATTATATTGAAAGGACGGTGCAATATGTGACGAATCGTCACATCTTTCCGGCCTGTGGCAGAGGTACTATGCTGGCTGGCCGCATGGAACTCTGGGTAGGAGAGTGGATCGTACATGTTACGTATTATTCAGACGTTCATACACGCTACAATTGGGTTTAACAGGAACGTCCATTTTACTTCGGATGTTCATCATGGGGCCAGTGTCACCTAAGGAAGTTTGTTAGTGGGATTTAACGCTCCTTTGAACCATATTCCAGTTATATTGCTGCATGCGTGTCTGCTTAATGTGGGAGGACCACCCGAAGTAATGCAGGTTTCAACAGTTTGACACTTTGGGGAAAAAACAAGCTCGGGTATGACGCTCGCAGACCAAGACACGCTTAGGGAAGAACCGGAATTCGAACCCGCGGTCAAAGGTTCCGTGCAAAGAGAATTATGGCGAGTTAGATCATGTTCATCCTCTGTTATCAGGGGCGGTGGCGGTAGCCTAGTGGTTAAAGCGTTCGCTCGTCACACCGATGACCCGGGTTCGATGCTCCACACGTGCACAATGTGTGAAGCCCATTTTCCCCGTCTTGATATTGCTTATAACATATGTTATATTTGGGATTACACTTTCTTAGTAAAGTACAAATTCTAGTACTTTTTGAGTTGAGCCCCATCCGGGATTCGAACTCACACCCTCAGAGTCAGGCACCTAATCGCCAGCACACAAAGTCAGCCGCCTTACCCGCTCAGCTACCGCCACTTCCACAAAAATGGAAGTGGGACAACTGGTAGTCTAGACTGCAGACTTTGTGTACCCCTCTGATAAGTGTTAATAGGCACCGCTCCCACGACCGAAAGCTATGATTACACAATGCCATTTAGAAAGTGGTCAAATGTAACATATGTTATATTTGGGATTACACTTTCTTAGTAAAGTACAAATTCTAGTACTTTTTGAGTTGAGCCCGATCCGGGATTCGAACTCACACCCTCAGAGTCAGGCACCTAATCGCCAGCACACAAAGTCAGCCGCCTAACCCGCTCAGCTACCGCGACTTCCACAAAAATAGAGTGGGACAACTGGTAGTCTAGACTGCAGACTTTGTGTACCCCTCTGATAAGTGTTAATAGGCACCGCAGGTAAACACGAAGAGGCCACTTTACACTATATAAAAATGGCAAATATTTACATCCTACAATAATCGGATGTCCAACAACCCATTATTTGTTAAGACTTTATAAATGTTACCCATTGACACCAAAAAACTCTCATTTTTATCATTAACAGGTCGCCTTTATGTGATTAGAACAGTTTAGTGCGGTTTAAAACATCATTCATTCTCTGACTTGTCAGTTCACGTGGGAATGGCTCCGGCTTTTAAAACGTTATCAGCCAGGTTCGAGATGGCAATAATGTACTTTGTACATATTAGAATGTATGATGTAATGTCATTCTCTTGGGTTCATAATACGCACACCCTCACTCATACGCGTAAGAAAACTGGGCAAAAGAAGGTATGTATACACCTGTTTTTGAGGTTGGCAACATGTAACGTTCACATGGTATTCGACAACAATGTATTTGATGACAATGTATTCGACAACAATGTAATTGATGACAATGTATTTGATGACAATGTATATGATGACAATGTATTTGATGCAGGCATAACAATCGTGTTTAGCACCTAAATGTGCAGTATTTCAACGACTGCTTTCGGCCTAGTAACGTTTTTATGACATTTCTAGAGTTTTGGTAAAAAAACAACAACATATTTTTAAGTACTCTCTTTCTCCTGCGTTTCAACTTCAGTGTATTTGAGACATATGTGGAAGCTCAACGAAAGTCTCTTGACCTCTAAGTGACCTTTAGCTGACTCACCTACTTTCCTATCGGTACTGTATACCTACAGACATGCATGCTTGTTAGATGTATCAGATATATATATTTCAGTTGGCCACATTAACACGAGACATAACGGGACCTCTGTGACTGACTGGCTTGCCAGTTAAGCCCACGAACGATCTACCTTGTCACACGAGGGCGCTGATAGCATCTCGAGCCGGCCTAAATCACCGCTTAAGACAATTAAACTGTGTCAAACACAAGGACATCAGGAAAATAAACCTAGATATTTTTATTGGGTTAAAACGTAAGGTACAGTGAATCTCGATACAACGAACCGTTTTGACGGTTTAGGACAATTGCTGTAATGTTTTTTATCGAAATGCTTAAAAGGAACGATGGTAATAATGAATTAAATTAAATCGTTTCTTCGAATTCGATATAATCGCAGTTTACTGTAATAATAAGTCGTGTTTTCTGGGGTCAAGCCACACTGACAAAGGGCATTTTTAGGTTCTGAACCTGTAGAAAGGTCTAGACTTCCTTCATTTTAGAGGTATTGCGTTATAGAAGCGAAACTATTAGGGTTCGGGGGACTGTGAGACAGGATTCAAGAAGGGTTTCTCCGATGAAGATCAAGTCTCTTGTATTCATAACCAATTATATTATAAATTAAACGGTTACTATTTGATTTTTCTGATTGTGTGTCAGGTTTTTGTTCTGATTCAGCACGTTTTACGTGTTTGATATATACTACTCAATGTTTGCTAAGGGTTAGGTTTTGAAAATGTGAAAAAAGTCATAAAACAATTGGAATATGGTGGTACGTAGTGATGAGGTAACCTATAAGACCAGGACTTCACAATAAAGGAATTAAGGCATGCAGTCATGGATTCGATGTGACAGAGGTACTTGCTAACCTGTGTTTGGGTGTATCGTGACTGAACATCACAATCAGAAACTATCACTATCATTTGCCCACTTAGCAGCAACGACGAAACATTAGAGTGATGCATAGACACAGTGGCTCGAATCACTGTTTGGACAATAAATCGTAAAAGTGAAAATCTAGACTTTTGCAATCTATATTGTTTTTATATGTTATGAGTAGGGGTGGGTATTGCAGAGAATTTTCATATTGCGATATATTGCGATGCGAAAGCATGTATTGCGATATGTATTGCAATATATTGCATGAAGTATTTTTAAACAAAAACTACTTATAATCGAGTTAATTCTTGATTTATAGAGCAAAAACACAACAAGATCACTAGGCTTGATTAAGCTTTAATAACAACTTTTAATCATGATAAAATAAAAATAAGAATAATATTTGGCACAAATGAAACAAGGAAAATATCCGAAGATTTCCGAGTGTTACGAAGGTTTCCGAATGCATGTCAAAATGCCGGTTTTCGATCAGCGTATCCCAATACGTATCGTTTTTATGTCTGAACCGGTAAATACCGGTAAACCGGTTATATTGCGCATCCCTAGTTATGAGAAATATAAATTGTATTTTTGAACGAAATTAGTGAAAGATTGATTTCTTCACTGATTTCGTTCAAATTTGAAATGTATGTTAATCATAACATATAGAAACAATATATGATTGCAAAAGTCTAGATTTCTCTGTTTTTCAAATTAGTGTCAAAACAGTGATTCGAACACCTGTGTGCATAGGCGTGCTTAAAACGGAATCAGCATAACATCTCGTTGGACACGTCTTTGTATAATCAACGGGGCATTGAATCGATGCAAGAGGCTTGGATCAGCTACCTAGCGACGTGCAGGTGGTCGACAGCGTACAGCTGGAATATTTATTACTTACTGCAGTGTAGAACAACTAAGGAAACATATGAATCAAACCTGTGTTTATTACAGGAAGAATGCTGTTTAAGTACTCGGGATAAGTTTTGCTTAAAAACCGAACGTTAACCGACATTCAAGTTGTTTGTGAAGTGTCTGTTTCAGTTGTGTAGTTCACGCACTGGCCAAATATACTATTTTCTATACAACTGATCTTGACATTTCAGGCAGCATGCTGGTAGTGATCTTCCTCTGTTGTCTACACCTAGTGGTGTTGCAGGCAGTCCCCCGCGAAGTTGCAGATCCTCTTCCGCCTCGGGGTTTCCTACCCCCCAGTGGCATTCGACGCTCCAGGAGTTCCGGCAGTGAGAACGCTGTCAATAACCCCAACCGTGTCCCAGAGTTCCTGCCCTTCTCTAAGAACGCTGAGGGTGTTCCACAACTCTCCATTAAGAACATACGGGACAGTCTGGGAATGCCAACCAAACAACTGGACACTGTGGTCAAGCAGAATAAGCTCCCAAATCTGGACGGGCTGACCATGGAGCAGATCAAACAAAGGTACGATCCCCACGGGAACAAGCCCCAGCCCAATGCGAGGAATCAACCCCCGAGATGGACAAACACCAAGTCTCCCCGGCTCTTCCGAGGCCCCCTGTCGGGAAGAGGGTGGCAAAGGATGAACATTAAGTGACTATCTAAAAAGGTAAACAAATATACCGGCACAAAATGGGTACCCGGTAGTATGAAGTGGTGTAGTGTTAAGCCATATGTCGAAATGGCAAACTGGGCTATACATACGCAAGAGGGTGCTGCAAACAAAGCAGTTCGACCTTTAACAAGGCTTTTATAGAAGGGAATGTATACAGTGCAGCCTGGTTAATCATCCACAACAACAACAATGCACCTTGCACCATGTGTCTATTTTACGAATCAACACCAGACGTAGGCGTGATAAACGAACGATTTAACAACAAGGCCATCCTACGGTTACGATAAAAACCATGATAAAACTTTAATTTAAATGAGGACGTTGACGGTGACGCCAAAAGTTATAACAAAGACATAAAATTATGACAAAAACGACGATGATGGTGATGAATGTGAAGATAATGCTAAGGAGGCTGATGTGATTATCAGTCTTGACGTGATAACGCTGACAACGACGTCGATATCATCTTAATGACGACGATAGCAGTGAAAACGACGGGAAGACAATTATGAAAATGAGAAAGTTTTTTTACTTTCAGCGTTGTTATATTAGTTAGATTGACTCCATATATTTATCGTTGTTTGTTTTCAGGTGATAGAACACCACCACAGCCACCAACAACGACATGAACAACAACCAAATTCAGCGTAAGATGCGAACATTTACAGAAGAGAAGATAACAACGTGTTTCCTTGTTTGTGTTTCTTATACCGTGGTGACCATGTATTTTCAACCAACTCACCGAAATACTTTGGTGACGTGAACGAAAACTGTGTTTCTCTACAGTTGGACCATGTTTTTGTACGGATTTTCCTCAGAGACGTTGTTCCATAATCCCAAGGCAACTATAACTATAAGTTGAATCCCCTCCTTATTTCATATATCTCGACCTCACCTGTATCTTTTGAAAAACTATCTCATGAAAAGTGTCCATGGTTCCAACGATACTTGATGACAAACTCCAAGATACCTGCACGTTTCGCCAAAAAGTTATAAGTATTAAGTCGCATCATTGTTTCAAAGAAGCAAGGGAAATAATCTGAAGGAATGTAAAGAACAGTTACCAAATATCTTCGGATGATCACTTCTGGAATATTCCAATCCGTATTCAAGATGTAGGAAATACTGCTTAATTAAAGATAATTAACTCAGTTTCACTTTGCCAAGTTTTTGAGCAACGTAAAGTAGTCACTACGTAGTCAATATTGCTGTGAGACAAAAACATAGCAACTACACACCCCTCCACTACCAACCCCCCCAAAAACACGACTTATAACAATGAATATTTAGCAGTCTTCACGAAGTGTGTAAGTTTAAAGGAAGATTTTCTGTTCTGACACAGGAAGAATGAATAAAGTTAATATAGTTCACAAGCTTTTTTATCGCAAAGGACAAGCTGACCAGTAAATATACTGAACCACAAAAGAAACGTCGCTTTTCACAACCAAATGCAAATTTTTGTTTTTGCAAGGTGGTGTTTTTATTATGATTGTACCGTTTTGTTAACATGTGTTTCAATCCAAATTGACAGTTATTACCAACATCAGTGTGTTTTCTGATGAAAAAGCATATCGACCAAACGCACCGAAAAAGGTAGACATGGTAAAAGGTTCCGTATGACATTCGAGAAAATGAAAATGCACGTGCATGTCGTGACAACCCTACCAATGAAAGCCAGTCCCAAACGCCTGGAATCATTTTTGTTTTGACACAATCACCATGCCACGACTTAAGAGAGATCAGAGGAACCAAGTCTTGGGACGATTGCAAGTTGTCCAGACTGCACGGAGGGTAGCCAATCATTTTAATGTTCATGTTAGGACAATCTACCAACTCTGCAGGAATGGTATCAGGTCACTAACAGCATCCAAGACCGTTCACGCAGTGGGCGACATTAGGTAACATCGCATCGTCAAGACCGCCACCATCTGCAGGATCGCTTCCCGAGAGCCACGGAAACAGCACGCCAGACCATTGGGACCAACAGACCCATCAGTGCCGATACAGTGCGTCGACGTTTGCGCGGAAGAAACCTCTGCTGTCACAGACCCTATCGTAGTCCTGTCCTCACAGCTCATCATCGCCAAACCCGACTGCAATGGGCAACTCAGCATCGAAATTGGCGTTATCGACAATGGAGAACTGTGCTTTTATCTCATGAAAGCCGATACTGTGTTTCGACAGTCGATAGCAGAGTGAGAGTATGGCGAAGGCGTGGTGAACTGTTTTCCAGTGAGTGTATTGTTGAAAGAGTCCAAGCATCACAGTGTGGGGTGCAATCGGTCTGAACCAGATAGTTTGCGCCGTGGTGTCCCAGAATCTCGGTCCAGGATGAGGAAATGACGTGACAGCTGCTCGCTATATTGATCAAGTCATAAGACCCCACGATGTACCACATTTTGGACGTTACAGAAAACACGTCTTAAAGCAAGACAACGCTCGTGCCCACACTGCCAGAGCAACATTGGACCTCCTAAGACAACATGGCATACAAACCCTTCAATAGCCTGCACTCAGTCCGGATTTAAGTCCAAAAGAACACCTTTAGGACGAGATTTAAAGAAGACTGAATGGCCTCCAACCAAGGCCGACAACTGCGACTGGAGTCGACCAGGCATTTCACAGAGTATGGACCCAAGTGCATATGGCCCATCAACCAGCTAATTCATTCCATGTGAAGACGATGCAACGCTTTCATGGATGCCAATGGAGGCCACACACGATACTGACTTTGGGGTACCTTAATGGTACCATTTTTGTTATTTTAGATGTGATTCCCGAAAATGTGTTAAACGTAATTGTCAAATTTGAACTCAGTCCTCCGTTTTGATTGTTAATTAGAGCGAATTAAAGTATGTACTTTAAGAAACCACTGTGGGTGCGATATTTCTTTTGTGGTTCAGTATATTCATTTGCAGCTTTACAACCAGTTACATTTTGTTATCAATTATTTCTGTAACGAAATAGGAACCTTTCCGGATTAATGACGAGGTTTGGTTGTAAAACCGTATACTCCGATCCGCTATCAAAAGCACAGTTGATGGAACGATTGCACTGTTATAAGCAAGTGTTTACGAATGACTATGAAATAGAGATATCAGGTGTTCATCGGACGTTTGCAAGTTTGATATACAACAACAGCAACAACAACAACAACAACAACAACAACAACTAACAACCGAAATACTAGCAAAACAGTTATGCCTAAACGGACCCAACATGCAAGTGTGTAATGGTTGTGTGGGTAGAAAGCGGGAGACGTTTGCAAGTTTGATATAACCCACGTGCTTTAGCAGATTTAAATTTATATAGTCCAATCCCCTTTTATCTGGACGTTCCAACTGTATTTTGGATTAACAAGTTTCCCGATAGATAATGTTCCTTGCGGTATTTAGAGCAAACACACGTAGTTTCGTTATAACCTGTCCACACATTTACAACAACTTCATCATCATCATCATCATCATCATCACCACCACCACCGCCAACAACAACAACAACAACAACTAACAATCAAAATACCAGCAAAACAGATCCAACATGCAAGTGTGTAAAACAATACCATCATTCATGCCTGTCACTTTTGGAAATACTGTTAAGTTTCAGAAAATATAGAAAAAAATCATTTCGAACTGAAAAGAAGGCCCAGTGAAATGGGAGATCTAGATTTGCTTCATTCATGACTATAGCATCACAGGCTAGGCGAAAGGGAACATATACTGAGAGAAACAAATAGAGGAACACAGGAAAATTTAAGTGTTCCTTTGATGCTGTCTAATGAGTAAACTTAGGCTCAGTATTATTCGTTACACTGCTACTGATAGCAGTGTAACGAATAATACTGAACCTAAGTTTACTTAGACTGTCCTTTGATGTTTTCCAGTTTTTATCACCAGCTTTTAATTTGAATAGCGCTGTGGGAAGAAATCAGAATAAATGAAGGAACACTGCCATGAAGTGGTCTTCCCTTATTTGTTTCCCTCAGTATATTATGGAACAGGGACTGTGAGACAGAAGAGGCCATGTCCCGTGTTTTTTCTTATCGTCTCAATCTTCAGCTGAAACTCAAAACCCTAATCAGTGGGCAAAGCGGTGACGTGGCGTTTCAACAAAACGTGTTTTTCTATCTGCGACTATTCTGACGTGGACTGGGATCAAAAGAAAAACTAGAACGCAATATCCCATTCCGCGCTGGAAAACCGTTATCTGGCTGCACAATACCCGGATCTCAATTGAGACAACACTAGGGTAGACCCTCACGCCGAGGAGGGGTAGTGAGTTGGAGTGAAGTGATATTTGTGTTGAGCTCACCATAGTCAGACATTCAACACTTCTGCCCGCATATGGTGGGCTGTACACCGTATATATTTCGTTTATTCGTTTCGGGTGAGTATGAATCCGACTTTCTTTATAAGAATTTGAAAACTGATTTAATTCCTAGTTTTGTATACTTCTGATAATGGTGGTTCTGATCAGTTTATTGATTATTCATGCTGTGTGTACTGTTCTGACGTTCGAGGTATTCATACACGCTGCACTTAACTTTAATAGGATTTTGTCGATTATTTTTGCTGGATATTTATCACCGGTCAGTGTCGCCTCAGGGAGTTTGTTAGTGGGATTTAACGCTCTTTTGGGCGATATTCCCGTTATATTACCGCGTGTCTGCTTAATGTGGGAGGAACACCCGAAGTGATCCAAATTGGAAAAACTAACCAGCACGGGTATGGCGCTTGCAAACGAGGGTTCAATGTGTGAAGCCAATTTATGGTGTCCCCCGCCGTGATATTGCAGGAATATTGCTAAAAGCGGCGTAGAACTAAACTCACTCACTCACATCCTGTTATCCGATGTATTGTATCGCCATTCCAGGGTAGCCTAGTGGTGAAGGGACACGGGTACAATGGCTGTATGAAGCCCATTTCTGGTGTCCGCCGCCGTGATATTGCTGGCATATTGCTTCAAATGGCGTAAAACCATACTCATTTAATATAATGAACATAGAGATTTTTTCTGAATAAAAAGATGTAACCCAGAAAGAATCTCTATGTTCATCAAATATCATCTTCTAAAATGCCAATCAAGCATAATTTAATATAGTATGGCAATCTATGGCGACGTCTTCCATCGCTGCTATCCCTAAGATAGCTCATAGCTTCTACCGCTCTACGATCGGCCCGGTTCGACTCTCCACAAGAGAACAATGCTTGAAGCCTGTTACTAGTGTCCCCGTCGTCTCATTGCTGGAATATTGTTAAAATCGGCCTAAAACTCCGATCCGCAGTTACTATGACTTATCTAGATAAAGAAGTAGCTGGACTAAAATACAACTTATGAATAAATTCCTCTCCAGTTCAATACTTTGAAAAGAGCATCTGCCCGAGAAATAAGCAAATTATCTTGCCAAATGTACAGATAACTATGAAAAGGAAACTATACGAAATAGAAATATAGGATGCATGCTTGTCATATATACAATTTCCCCATGCATCCCGAGGCGGGATAGTCTGCCGGAATGCCAAATGGTGAAGGCGACCTGCATGAACACCTAACAGTAAGTCAAGTCTACCTCGTCACACTAGGGCGCTGATAGTATCTCTAGCGGGCTTAATCCCATAGCTGACTCCGCGGTCTGGGTGATTTGCTGATAAATCACCTCTTTAAATGATAGTGACTAACACAAGTATATCAGGAAAATAAACTTAGTTGTTTTGTTTGGTTAAAACGTAAGGTACAGTTAACCTCGATATAACGAACTGTGTAGACGGTTCCGGACACCTGCGGTATATTTTGGTCGAAATACGTATAAGGAACTACGGTTGTAACGAATTAAAGTTATTGGTCTCTTCGAATTCGATATAACCGGGGTTTACTGTAATTGTAAGCCGTGTTTTCTGGAGTCAGGCCACACTGACAAAAGGCATTTTTTAGTTTCAGAACCCGTAGAAAATTCTAGACTTACTTCATTTAGGGGTAACGCGTTACAGAATCGAAAATATTAGGGTTCAGGGGACAAAAAGGGTTTCTCCGGAGAAGATCAAGTCTCTTGTATCTCATAACCAATTATAATATAAATTAAAGTGTTACTATTTGATTTTTTGATTGTGTGACAACCTATCCCGTTGACGTGTGTGTCAACACATCCCTAGATTCTTGCTGTACATCAGGAGGTTTTTGACTGGCACAGGCAAGTTTTACCTGATGATATATACTACTCAAAATTTGCTAAGGTTATATTTTGAAAATGTGAAAAAATCATGAACAAATTAATATTGAAATATCGCGGTACACAGTGATTAGGTAAACCCTAGGTAACTTCACGATGAAAGATTGAGGCATGCAGTGATGGGTTCGAAATAAAAGATGTGCTTGATAACCTGTGTTTGGATGTATCGTGGCTGAACATCAATATCAGAAACTATCACTATCATTTAAACAACTGAATGAACACATGCCCACTAATCGCCAACGACAACAGAAAAAATATAAAAGATGCTTAGGCATGCTTACTAGGGGCGATCAAAAAGTAGTCGGCCTCACCTAGAAAATGACACAAATGCAGCTGGTTTTATGTTTTATGTTTCTACATATTATCTGTCAACCTCAAGCAAATTGGTTTTACTATAGTCAAGCCCCACGATCCCCATTTCGTTTGACTTTTTATCATGCTACTCCCCCAAAAAACGCAAAATCTGCAATAAATGCATCACAAGCTCCAGGAACAACAAAATATTCCAGAAATACTTTGTGTGTTTGAAATAGGTAGAAGTCAGCTAGAATCTACCTTAGACAGTAAAGTGCATGAAAAGCAATTTGAAACTACAATCGCTAGTTAAAGTGCACTTTCCCTCCCCATCCTCCTTAATGTTTACTGAGAGAACTTGTTTTGGAGATATTACTTCTGGCTCCACCCCCACCCCCACCCCCAAATTCAAATGACGTAATCATAAGGACATAACTTGTTCATACATCATGCCAAGGGTTCAAGCTAAATACTGAATGGTCACACAAGTATGAGCTCTCAATGTATTGAAACATTGCCAGCTTGAATATCTGGACACAATGTTTTTGAAGGACTAAAATGGCAGCGTCCTTAGCAAACAGTCCCCCTCTAAATCTAAATCAAACAATCCAAATCTTTGACGGGAAGTCTTCCAATACTATAGTGAACATATTTCATATGATATTATCTGAGGGCATACCATTATCCAAGAGTACCAAATGACAGATCGTTTTTCATTTAGAAATATACTATCCCCAAAACAGAAATGCATAGGCGTTTTGTATTTTAAAAAATCTATTAATTGCCCATTGTGTTCAAACAATCGTCAAAATATGTAAGAAAAGTGTTGATAACATGATTTTACACACTTGCACAAGTAAAAAAATCGATTTTACCTGAAAATGTTGATTTTGATGATATTTCTTACATGGATTAAAACAAAAAACCATCACCGCAACGCAACAGAAATTACCTCCCAGTTGAAATTGTGCAGCATGTACTGTCTGGCTATAAAAATCCCGATTACTTTCGGAAATCGGCACTCGTTTTGAAGGAGTTTCAAAGTCAAATCACTACGCCACTTCTTGACGCTACGACACGGAACATCCCATTGAAAGAATGCACGCTGGAGATTACCAATCTTCTGTTGCCAGGCGTCTGAACGTTAGTCTGAGCACGATATCACGGCTTGCAGCTCGTTACAACCAAACAGGTATAACAAATGACCGTCCCCGTACAGGCACACCTCGAGTCACAACTGCAGTCCAAGATCGGTACATCCGGGTACTACCTTTGCTTGATCGTACTGCCACGGTTGAGAGCAAGCAGCCAGGGTGCCTGGACTTCGGAGGATATCCGGTCAAACTGTACGGAACAGGTTGAGAGAGATTGGACTGAGAGCCAGGAGATCCGACGTCGGGACCGAGCTACGTCGTCACCATCGCAGTCAACGTTTCCGTTACCTAAAAATATCCACTTGGTTGCATAGACATTTCCTTCTTCTACACTAATGTTAAAAATCATGTAATAAAGTCTGTTTGTAGACGAGTTATTCATGTTTGAAAATACAACAGTTTTGCAACAGATTTCTGGGTTATGCGTTTCTTTTTTTAAATAGTATATTATACCCCAACGTGTTGTGATGATAACTATCTCGTTAACCACATTACCCACATATGAGATATTTTGGATATGGCTTTGCTAATGATTCCTTCAAAATAAAATGGAAGCTTTTCAAACATTGGACATAGAGAATATAGATATACCGACTTCTTTTTGAACGACCCTCGTAAAACGGAATGGGCATATGTGTAAACGTCTTTGTATCATGAACGTTTGGATCAGCTACTGAGCGACGTGCAGGTGGTCGACGGCGTACAGCTGGAATACTTATTAGTTACTACAGTTTTGAACAACAGTTTCTAACAAATCAATTCTGTGTGTAATTAATTACTCGTGATAATATTTTCTTAGAATGTGAACAGACAATCGAGATGTTAGTGAAGTGTCGGTTTCAGTTGTGTACTTCACGCAGTCACTGGACAATGCACTATTTTCTATACAACTGATCTTGACATTTCAGGCAGCATGCTGGTACTGATCTTCCTCTGTTGTCTACACCTAGTGGTGTTGCAGGCAATCCCCCCGCTTCCGGGTCTTGGAGCTAAGGCCGAGTTCAAACTCCCCGACGGCATTCGATACTCCAGGAGTTCCGGCAGTGAGAACGCTGTTAAAGATCCCAACCATGTCCCAGAGTTCCTGCCCTTCTCTAAGAACGCTGAGGGTGTTCCACAACTCTCCATTAAGAAAATACGGGACAGTCTGGGAAAGCCAACCAAACAACCGGACACTGTGGTCAAGCAGAATAAGCTCCCGAATCTGGACGGGCTGACCATGGAACAGATCAAACAAAAGTACGGGCCGGTCGGGAACAAGCCTCAGCCCAATGCGAGGAATCCACCCCCGGGAATGGACAAACGCCATGTCTCCCCGGCTTTTCCGAGGTCCCCCGTCGGGAAGAGGGCAGCAAAGGATGAACATTAAGTGGTTGTTCAAACAGGTAAAACATATACTGGCAGTAAATGGGTACCCGGTAGTATGAAGTGGTGTAGTTTTAGGCCTAGCGAGGAAATGGCATTCTGGGTTGTACATACGCCTGAGGGTGCTGTAAACAATGCATTTTGACTTGAACAAGACTTTTTATAGAAGGGAATGGATAATCTCCAGGGTATACGTTACGATCACTCTCCACTATACCCTGGATGCATTCACGGCCAATCACCTAAGCCGCCGTTACATCCGAGCTTGCCAGTGTCGACAAAGATAGCCGTCGCAGTCGCGAAGGTTTGTTCGCAGTGTCACTCAGATTTTTGGGGAAATCATACAGACCAATTCACAGATATGAAACTTTATAAAAATATATGAAAGAACTCCTTCTACCTCTTTCAGAGTACCTCTGCATCAACTGTGTTGCTAAGTTTAAACGGTTAGATAATTTAAGAAGTGAAAGTGAGTTTTGATTGGTTCGCTCAACTAGACACCTAGGGAGGTAATAAGATCATCGGGCCAAGCCGTGGATGCATCCAGGGTATAGTGGAGAGTGATCGTAACGTATACCCTGGAGATTATCGAGGATGGTGGATACAGTGCAATCTAGTTAATCAACAACAACAACAACAACAACAACAACAACAATGGACCTTGCACCATGTGTCTATTTTACGAATCCACACCAGACGTAGGCGTGATAAGCGAACGATTTAACAATAAGGCCATCCCACCGTTGCGATAATATCCATGATTTAAATGAGGATGTTGACGACGATTATGAATCATTTCGATTATAATGAAAAACGTTCTAAACGATTTCGAATGTTATAACGAATACATTTGACAAAAATGACGATGACGGTGATGAATGTAAAGATAATAATATGAGCATATTAATGACGACGATAACAATGAAAACGACAGGAAAACAATTATGGGAATAAGATTTGTTTTCCCCTTCAGCGTTATTACATTAGTGAGATTGACTCCATATACTTCTCGTTGTTTGTTTTCAGGTGATAGAACACCATCACCGCCACCACCAACATTACAAACGACACAAGCAACAACCAAATTCAGCGTAGGAGGTGGGAAGTTACAACAGAGAAGATGATAACGTGCTTCCTTCTTAACTGTTTCTTATTCCTTGTTGACCTTGTATTTTCAACCAACTCATTTAAATACTTTTGTGAAGAGAACGAAAACTGTTTTTGTCAACAGTTGGAACCTGTTTTATACGGACTCTCCTTATAGATGTTCCATAATCACAAGGCATCAACAACTGTTTAAAAGAATGTATTGAACGCACCTTTCCTTTTAGATGTTGTTCCATAATCCCAAAGCAACAACGAAGTCTATCCCTATGACTTTTAACTCATCAAGCACGCAAAGGGAAAGTTGACCTGTAAATATTTATTTGCAGGTTCGCAAGATTCTACATTTATTATACATCTTATCATGAATTCTGTCTGTAAAGAAATAGGAACCTTTCTTGTTGAGGCTTGACTGTAAATTATTTTTCTTCGGACGAAAAGAATTCATATTGTTTAAATCCTGTTCATCGATTTAATACATATTAGTGTACATTTTTGTGTGTTTTTTCAGTGAGAAACGTGAATAAAATGCGTCTCATTTTCTATTGTGTTTTTTTCCAAAGGCCCATTATCATTGTTGCCATGAGATTGGCGTTAGATACAGAGGGTCAGCTTCTTGCGGCAAGTAATTATCGGCATGGTAGCGCCGTTTAGGCCTATCTCAGCTCTTAATCTTGTTACTTGAGACATGGTGGACAGTTCATCTGGTCAGCCATATCCCTAGGACATGAACCATGATGCACTGCGGTAAAACTAACTCTTCGGCCACATAAATAGCGGACTCGACCCATCACTGCAGTCCGCCTTTCCAGAACAGCAGTACTGGTGCTCAGAGGTGTTCTGATTGAATCGTAACATCGAGGTAAGAAACGTCATTTGGCTTCACTCGTGTCATCCCGCAAGCCGAACAAGCGGCTACGGAAAGAGGCGAGTGGTAATATTTGTTTGTTTGTTGTTGAACGCCGCACTTAGCAATATTCCAACTATATGGTGGTGGTCTGTAAATAATCGAGTCTGGACCAGGCAATCCACTGATCAACAGCATGAGCATCGATCTTTGCAATTGGCATACGATGACATGTGCCAACCGAGTCAGGGAGCCTGACCACTCGATCCCGTTAGTCGCCTCTTACGATAAACATGGGTTGCTGAAGATCAATTCTACCCGGATCTTCACGGGTAGAGATGTTGGGCTATGTCCGTATTCTCATTCCATACTATGTCCTTTTTGACAATTATGAGGAATGAAACTGGCTATTGGTAGGTATATTTTTAGCCGAACATTTGTCTCCATGTCGTGCTGGGATCTGCTTCTGGATTGAATCCAGATAATACTGTCTGTATTTCCCCTGTGTTTCCCATCTCCCACAGGCCCAGAATATTCATTCCGACGTGAAAGAATAAAACGTTTTCCCATCTCAGGGGTGGTCGGGTAGCCTAGTGGTAAAAGCGTTCACTCATCACGCCGAAGACCCGGTTCGATCCCCCACATGGATACAATGTGTGAAGGCCATTTCTGGTGTCCCCGGGCGGTGGGGTAGCCTAGTGGTTAAAGCGTTGGCTCGTCACGCCGAAGACCCAGGTTCGATTCCCCACATGGGCACAATGTGTTAAGCCCATTTCTGGTGTCGCCCGCCGTTATATTGCTGGAATATTGCTAAAAGCGGCGTAAAACTAAACTCAGTCAGTCAGTCAGTCAGTCTGGTGTTCCCAATTGTGATATTGCTGGAATATTGCTAAAAGTGACGTAAAACAATACTCACTCACTATCTATTTATGACATGCAATCATACTGATATCATGCAGGATTTCCTTGTCCGGCAGAGAGTTTCCGCTTTGCTAGATGTGAAATCCTGCATAATGATTGTTCACAGGAGATACATTAAGCTTAAAGGATATCAAAAGGAAATCCTGAGTATAACACAATGAAGCATACTTACATAAAGGATATGCACAACATTTCTTTGGTTTGGGTTTCCAGCACAAAATAGGCACCAGTTATTTTCAACTTTCATCAAGATTTCTTTATGTTTTAGGTACTCAAAGAGCATGTTCAAATATTAATCTGTGCTATTAAAATCATTATCGCTGAGAATGTCTAATTTGTTGGTAAAAATACAGTATCAATGTCTTCATGAATTTCAACCATCGCGTCACTGACACCACCCCCCACCACCCCCTACACACACACACACACACACACACACACACACACACACATACATACACACACCGCTTATTCAAAAGAGCTCAGCTAACCTCTGTCGTAGGTAAAAGAGCCTTGCGTTTAGGGACACAACTCGGACTAAACGCTAGGGCCTAACTATACCACTCCCCGATTAGGTACCTTTGTCTGTCAACACCTGTTGATGTTCGTAAGTTTTCCCCAAAGATTACTACAGTGAACCAACGATCGTATGGGATTCGAACAGACCTTCTGTGGATCCTTGCATGCATAATGGGGCGAAACTCTTCGAGTTCATGAAGCTATAGTGAGTGAGTATGGTTTTACGAGCTTTTAGCAAATTTCCAGCAACATCACGGCGGGGGACACCAGAAATGGCTTAACACATTGTGCCAATGTGGGGAATCGAATCCGGGTCTTCGGCGTGACGAGCAAACGCTTTAACCACTAGGCTACCCCACCGCCCCGAAGCTATATTGAAGCTGACTATGGTTATCTGTATTACGTCCAACTATAATGGCGGCGGTCTATAATAACTGTCCTGGCCAGGTCACCAGTGTACTTTTTGTTTTCGGTTTGTCTACTGTTTGATACAGATTGAAAGTGATGTCTTCAAATAACATGCGGAATTTATGTGAAATTTTCTTTAGCAAAAAGAGGATTTATGCTGTAACTATTGGCGCGTGCCACAAAGTGATCTAAACTGACGTGGTCCCTAGTATGGTGATCAACCTTCAGTCGTTAGCAATCTACAGCCTGTTTTTATATTGTATTGTCATTTCTAGTTCCAATATTTTAGATTTAATTGCTAGTTTTAAATGGATATCTGTGATACACTAGTAGTTTTACTGTTCTTCGTCAAAGGGATTTTTAATTTCTAACTTTATTCATCTTTATTATAATTATAAAATGTTCTCGTCACGATATGGCTGAAATATTGCCGATGTGACGATAAATATTAACTCACTCACTCACTCACTCTAAACTGACGTACAAAAGAAAGTATACACCAATGTCTGATGGTGGGAAGAACACGCCTACCCATGATTACAAGCAACGGGCAACCAAAATATGGAATATGTACACTCCTTGTATCACACAAATTGTAAGACAGACACACTGCCTATAAAGTGTACATCCTGATGATTAAAACCCGTCATAGTTTAAGTAGATCCTAACACAGCACATCACGTGAAGTTTGTTGCGGTCTCAAGTGAAACTTTGACGGGTTTATTTGGTAATATAGTGTTGGAAATTTGTCCTTACAGAACACCTTGGATATAGATAGATTTACTTCCGTCTGCAGAAATAATGACGAACGTGGGTCACGCGTTACGTTAGGTCTCCCAACCTTTCTATATCGCCTGATGGCCTCATTTGGGTGAAAATGGTCGTTTGTTCAAATTTGACATAGTCAATACCACCAAAAGATGTATTCTCTTCAATAACTCATCTTTTGTTTCAGCGTCTGCATCCTTTGCTGCAATATTCACGAAATGACGTCACTTTTGACCTTATGCCTTGTGGTCAGTGTCCTGGGATCCTCCTGGGTGGATGGGAAGGACTACTGGGATGGCACAGTGTTGACCAACACCACCCTGAAAGATGAACCCCCGATATTTTTAACGCTTGAAGAAGTGAAAATACGATTCCCAACCGAAGAGGTTACTCGTGGGCCCATTCTGGGGATAAATGAAGGAATCAACATGCCGGTGCCTGGTTTGGCACGCACATCGCCAAGTACATTGGGACAATTGTGACTTGTTGACCTCTGACATTGAACTACGCCGGCTGCAGGGGGGATAACTCTTGCCTACATAGAGTAGCTGTCACACACACGCATGCACGCACACAGACACAGTCAGTAGTTAGTACGTTTACCAGCAGAGCTGTGCCGGTGTATGCAGAAAGGCTCGTATTCAGATTCCTACACATTTATAGTTTAGGCCTACACACAGAATAACCTCCTGAAACTGAGTTAATATACCTTTCATTTTTTGTTGGAGTAAAATGTGACCATACGTTTTGATGTGTTTCTGATTGATTTTTCATTCATCCACGCATGTCGTTGTGGAAAAATGCCTCTTCGCCTGCCTTAGACTTCAGCGTTATGATATAAACAGTCCGCACAACAAAGTGGACATTTTGAAAATTATAAAATTGGCGACCATCCGGAGTAGCGGAATTTCAGTGATAATCAGACCTCGTGGTCAAGGGATGTGCCAAACCTGGCAGTCAAAGATACCACATTTCGTTGTGTCGAGTTGGGATGTAGGCAGTTTGGAACTGTAGGCAGTATGGGACCTAACCTGCTAGAGGGGTGGAGTCAAGATGGAATACACAGAGGCAAAGCTTCGAGACAACCGTAGGTTTGACACATCAAAGTTTCTGTTAGGTCCCATACTGCCTACAGTTCCAAACTGCCAACAAAAATATTGTAGGCAGCGTGGGAAATGATTTTTTGCCCTGTAGAATAATGGAACAGCCCAATTATCAATGAAGAAGGGGTGTGTCGTTTGGAGTAAGGTAGTAGTAGTTATTTGCTTTATTTAATGTCGCAGGTACAACTAAGGTATTTCGGCGACGGGGTAGTACACTTATTAAGACATTAGGGGAACAAAAAATAGAAATTTTGAAAGAGTGGTGTTACTACCCCCCAAAAACCCACACAACTGAGTATTAAGGGAAATTTGAATGGGATCACGGCTCCAGATCATTCTTCAACATCAGGAGTACGTACTCCATATTTTTTCACTACAGGAGTACTGGAAAACCTTAAGAGTACTGAGTGGAATTTAATGGCGTATCAGTAATCTTGTGTTTCGTTTCATATCTGCACCACAACATTGATAGTCTTGTGTAAACAGGTCAATAAACAATAAACCAATATGTTTTTCAGATAAATACGTCTGTAAATGATTCTAAGACCGTACACCATTGCTGTGGTGCGTACCTGCTACGTTTTCTAAATTATTTACTACCGTATCGCGCATATTTTGCATCCGTACAAACGCCGATACGGCCCTTATCTGGAGCCCTGCGGGATGCTGAAATAGGTAAAGAGTATTAGAGATTTTGAATTTAATATAGATGTGGTGTAGTAAATGGTTATTGCTATTGTATTTTTTAACCAGCCCATGTGTAAAAACACGTTTATTAAGTGAATAATGATAAATATATAAAAGGTGAAATAATGAACTTGATAAAAAGAGAGAACTGATTTAAAAAGTTAAAAGAACATATATACATATTTATAACAATTTGTAAAATGGTAAAAAGTAGTATTATTGTTTTTCTTGCCAGATTGTTTGGTATGATTTTGTATGAATGAGATATTTAGTGAGTGGTTTAATTAATTTGGGATTTCTTAGAATGTGCTTGAAATCTGAAGGGTACTGTACTGGTCTTGGTATCTACAGACCAAAAAAAAGCCTTAAACAATCCTATAATCTCCCGGCAAACTCCAGTATCTTCACAGCAGAACTCACAGCCATAGTTCAGGCCTTGCAAACAACTTCTGACCAAACAAACACTACCATCTGCATTTTTACGGATTCCTTAAGCTCCATACAGGCTCTCAAAATTAACTCTACAACAAAAAGACCATAAGATCTTATAAATAACATATACAGAAGAATACTATACCGCCAAAACAAAAATAATCAAATACATTTTATCTGGGTCCCGTCACATATCGGAGTCCATGGCAACGAAATGGACATCCTTGTCAGTTGTGTGTAATTGTGAAACAAGTAAAAGACTGTAAAACCAGTAAAAGACTGTAAAACTTATCAATTTTTCATGATATAGCCATGTCTCCATGTAAAGACGGAGAATTCTCAGAATAAATAAACCCACCAACACTTGTCATTTTTTAAACTTCTGTAGGCAGAGTGCGCTTCACACATTATACCTATGTGGGAACCCGGTTTGTTCGAAGAACCCGGATCTTTGGCGTGACGAGCGTAATGTAACAGAACGAATGGAGAATCCCTGTGCTAAGGATGCGATACGAGAGATGGTGATACAGACATAACTTCTGACATCAAGCTTTGGATTTGGATGTGTCATATTACAAGTAATATCTGATAGACTGGACGGAAGATGAACAACCAGATCCTTTCGAGCATCGATCTACACAATTGGGATACGATACGTAGCAGTTAATCCAGTTACAGGGGAGTAAGTACGGCTAACAGAACAGCTAGGCGAGGGACTAGAGTGAGTGAGCTATTATTTAGCGTCACATCGGCAATATTTCAGCCATATCGTGACGAGAACAATCTAGTTTATATCAATATGAAAATAAATAAACCTGTCACCGAAGGACAGTAAAAATATTAGAGTATCACAGCTATATAAATTTAAAACTAGTACGCTATTTTAAAATTAAATCACTATAGACAGTACAAAATAAAAACGGGCTATAGATCACCAACAACCGAGAAGGACTAGAGGTACTAATTAGTGGCGAAAGGATCTGGTTGTTCATCTTCCGTCCAGTCTATCAGATATTACTTGTAATATGACACATCCAAATCCAAAGCTTGATGTCAGAAGTTAAGTCTGTATCACCATCTCTCGTATCGCATCCGTAGCACAGGGATTCTCCATTCATTCTTTTACATTACGCTCGTCACGCCAAAGATCCGGGTTCGATTATAGGTACAGTGTGTGAAGCCCATTTCTGGTGTCCCCAGCCGTGATATTGCTGGAATATTGCTAAAAGCGGCGTAAAACCAAACTCACTCACTCTTTTACATTAATTGGACAGACACGAACTGGGCCCCGTCTCTCACGTCGTTTTGTCAAGTGGACGACGCGCAAAGGGAGCCGGGTACCAGCTGATCTCTTCGAATGGGGATCAAAACGAGGCAGCGAATATGTCCATATAAAACCCCACCATATAACGGGATTATAAGTCGTTATTACGATATTATTAATTTGTTTTGGCGGGATACGCAAATGTCCCTTCGGGAGCTTCGTATTTATCATTATGAGGCGGATATATAATTCACTGGATAATCGAGGATGGGTCCGACAGTGTAAACTGTCGTTTAACACCAGGGGCGCTCTATAAATAGCCCCATTACATAACACAAATATAGGTGTGGACAGATACGTGGGCAGCTGAATTTGTAACTATTGTATCCTGTCTTTAGTCGGTAGAAGATTTCGTTTTGTTTGTTGTTTAACGCCGCACTCAGCAGTTTTCCATCTGTATGGCGGCGGTTTGTAAATAATCGAGTCTGGACCAGACAATCCAGTGATCAACAGCATGAACATCCATCAAAGCAGTTGGTATACGATGACATGTGTCAACCAAGTGAGCTAGCCTGACATCCCGATCGTACACCTTACGACCGACATGTGTACACGCTTCAGAGTTTTGAAGGCATATATATATATATATATGTCCATAGTCTGCCTCTCATTTTCTCTAAAACTGGCTACAGACAGGCGAACAATTCCAATATAAAAATGAAGGTTCATGAGGTCATATCTATTATATATTATCTCGCCGTATTAAGGAACGTGACTTTTTGTGTACTGAAAAGCAATATAAAGAAATGATAACTATTGGCACGTTGCTAATTTATCTATTTCGTGAAATACAAATATATAAACATATCATTGTATAAAGAGTCACATTCAATAAAGAAAACAACGATTTGACACATGTACTTCTTCCCATTTTATTTCTTTGGTATCAATATTTAGCAGTATGAACGTACGTGGACTAAAAAAAACCCTGACTTGATCATTTGATTTGTATTCAGGGGCCTAGCTACCATTCCAAAAAAAAGCCCGGGCTTACACATTGTTGCTAAAAAGGTTGGGCAAGCCCTCAATACTCTCTAAATATAAAGCTTTGCAACCTATCGGGCTTACAAAAAAAATGGCTTGCTACGTGCCTGGTATTCTTGGCAAAACATATATTTGACTCGGTTGGTGAATCTATTTTCGTAAACATTTCGTGCGAATTTCTACTTTTCATTACAGAAAATCATTAGCCACAAATCCGTATTTACAAATGTGTCATTTTTAGGAATGAACGTTAGGTTTTTGACATTGGAAAAATCTTTATTCCATGTAACAAATACATATATATTATTAAACTATATCAAATATGGTTATGTATAACAAAATAATCAGAACTATATACGAAACAGTGACGTCGTCTGCTACAAGACAAAATGGCGGTATATACCACACGTGCGGTGTCCTCATGCGCAAAACAGCTGTTCAACAGGTTATATAATTCTACCAGAAGGTCAAATCAAATGTTTTTGACCGAACAATGTTGTAAACAATCAAGATCTTTTGGCCAATTACCATCACAGGGGAGATTTTCCTCAGATCGGGAGCGTAAATCGAGGTGAGTTGTGACCTTGTCAAAGAATGATACTCGGTCGACAATGAAGTGATGCAATGCGTCATCACTGTCTGATTCTCAAGGGATGTTGATTTATCCCTGTTTCTTTTATGTTTCATTAAATGTAGCCAATAGTGTTAAATTAATAAATTTACAGTTTAGTCCTAAATTCCAAAGAAAAACAGAAGTAATCGGTATTTCATAATTTGGAAGCCACTATGTTCATTCAAGGATCCCAGGGATGAAGATCGATCAAGTTGGGATAACTTAACATCACCCTTATACAATTAACTTTAATCATCGAAGAATCACCTGAGATCAGTAAGGCCATACTGTATGTTTATGTTGTGATACAGGCAAACAGAATCTGTGATCACACCCATATTTGTTGACGTGTGAAAAGGGATGGGCTTTGTGAAGTCTTGTTCGATAAAGTTTTGCAATCCAGGTACTTGACAGTATGAACCACTGAAGACACTTGTTGTAATTTGTAAACAAATCAATATAGTCTTGATAAATATATACTGAAAGGCAAAAGAAACGTCGTAATATTAGAAATGACATTTGAGTATCAATGGAGTATTTGAACCTATTTTTTTAAATATACACCAGAAGTCAAGTTTGAGGAAAACATGAATCGTGGTCGTATAGCCTGCATTGCCCAATAAAATATTGTTTGAGATTGGAGTTAGAAATGTTTTTGTTTTTTGGAGAGGAAAAGTTCCCACAAACACAACATTGAAATCGAGACGCACGTGCATCATAAATGCATTCAGGCATAAATTGCCGGCTTGAATGGCAATCTTTCACTTGTTTTCTGAACACAGCAGCTATGACTAGGTTTACGAGAGATCAACCACAACAAGCTATTGGACGTCTGCACGCTGGTCAACATGCTCGAGTCATTGCTAATGACTTCAGTTGCAGCGTCTGAACGATAGAACGTCTTAGAGTCGCGATATACAACGCCACCAGAAGCACTGATGACCGTCCACGAGTGGTCAACCCCGTGTAACAACCGCCGCCAGGACCGTCATATCGTCCATCAACACGTGCAAGACCTATTCGCAAGGGCCAGAGAAACAGCTTGGGGGACCATAGGAAACCACCAGCGACCAGTCAGTGACCTACCATTCGGCGACGTCTCCAAGCCAGGAACCTGTTTTGTCGATGTCCTGCCAGGAGACCCATATTCACCCAACGTCACCGCCGGGAACGTATCCAAGTGGACACAACAGCGGCAAAACTGTCGTGGGTGACAAAGGAGAGGGGTTATCTTCTCTGATGAAAGTCGGTACTGCATTTCAGTGGCGTATTATTTAAAAAAAACAGGTTAAAATGTTCCATTGATACTTAAATGTCATTTCCAATATTACGACATTTCTTTTGCCTTTCAGTATAGATATTTTGATATATTTTTTGAGAGAAAAAAAAGATTAGCATAGATCAATCAAACACATACTAGCTGTGCATGTGAGGGGTAACTGAATCCGTACCCACAGAGATTTATACCCAAACGTTTTTCACGGACTCAAATGTTGGACAACCCATACCCACTTGTACCTAAACAGCTCCATGACTCGTGCTAAAAAAAAGCGAAAAATTTGAAGTGAATGTTTGAAACATAAAATGAATAAATGTTGGAAATGTATAATGAATCATTGAATGAATGTTGGAAATATGTAACATGTTTAATGAATGAATGTTGGAGAAGTAACTGTGCTAAGAATGAATTATTGTCAAAGTAGTAAGTGGGAAAATGATGAATAAAATAATTATAGAAAACTATATCTTTGTTGTTTAATTCGGGTTAATGCAATCTGGTTTTAGGTAAATTTCAGCTAGTAGTATGGCTAAGTTATACCACTTACGCCTTGGAAAACTCTTTTGACAAAGTTTGTCAATTCTAAATGTGAATGAAAAATGAATAAAAGAACAATCTGGAATGTCTGAGATGGCTGAGTTTAATGACAGTGTTATGGTATAAGGGAGGTGAAAAGAGATGACATGTATTAACAATTTTGACACGTCAAAGTATCTTCTTCTTTTCTTTGAAAACATATCAATGTTAGTCATTTTGACGTTCCAGGTTTTCTGCAGGCTATGCTGTTGGAACACTTGCGTTCTCCAGGGGTCTGCTCATGTTGCTTGGCCTGGGAAAGAAAGAAGAAGAAGATCCAGTGATAAGTTTGTTCCGAGAGGCACGACTGGCACAGCATGAGAAAAACTTTGACAAAGCAGAATATTATTTTCATGAGGCACTTAAAGTTGCTGCGGAAAATCACAAAAAGACCGACATGACAACTCGAGATTACCTCTTTGCCAAAACAAACATCTTTGACAGTCTTGCCGACATGGCTCTATCCAGAGGTCAGTTCGACAAGGCAGAGAAATTATACAAGGAGACAATGAAGTGTTGCTTTGAGGTTGGTGTTGAGAAAGATGATAACTCAGTGATTGAAATCTCGATCAAACTAGCAAGTATCTATGCCATGCAACACAGAGATGCTGAGGCACGGACAGGATTCGAGTTCTGTATAAAAACACAAGAACAGAAAGTGAACGAGTTAGATGACACAGACAAGGACACAGTGGCACTTCTTGGTCTTGCATTGGAGAGTTACGGAAGGTACCTCATGTACCAGAAACAACTCGACAAGGCACTGCCGTTGATTGAAAAGGCTGTGACTGTTGCGACTTCAGCTTTAGGGGAGGAACACCCACAGACGCTTATTTTACACAATGATCTGGCTACACTGAATATTCTCCGTAAAAATTACGGGCCAGCTGAGAAAACTTTGAAATATGCCATAGAGGTTGGAGAGAGGGTTGAGTCGAGTGAGGTGCCAGCGTTGTACTGTAACCTTGGAGCTCTGTACATGCGTAAGTCAGAACTTGAAGCTGCAAAGAAAGCCTGCAGCCATGCTTTACAACTGGCTAAGAAAATGAAAGACACTACATCGGCACATCAAGCACAGAAATGTCTGGATAAAATTTACAAGGTTACCAGACAAAGTAAAAGTAGTTAATAATATGCTCTTTAGATTTTTGTTTATCATTTAATTTATTTGATATTGTTAACTTAAGTTGTATTTTACCATTGCTGTGTATGCTTTGAAGAGAGACCAAGGTATGTATTTATGTCAGTTGTAACTTGATAAGAATTATCAGTTTTTGTCATTAGTGGTAGTCTCACGTATAATATTCATCAAGGGACCTGTTTATAATTTATGAGTTGTGCATTATTACCAAGTCATTATATGTTTTGCATTTTATTTAAGTATTTTACATAATCAGCATAGTTTCTGTGGATCAAATTCTTGACAGGTATTCAAAATTAAGAAAAAAAGTCAGGGTTTTCTCAATCTCTTATTCCTAATGAAACATCCCTGTTACAATGTATAGACATAATGTAACATATCTATTGTATCATGATATAGGGTTTGTGAATGGATGTATTGTAATGTGGCCTTCGTATCAGGACACAAGTCCTGTTACGCTTCAAACTTTCATAGAACTGAACCATATCCCATCATGGATTCAATTTGTTATTCATAGTGCACAAGAATCAAGGATTTAACATTATTTTTTGTGTTTTACTTGGAATTTGCCTGTTGTTGATATGTGTGATATGTAAAGATGTAAAATGTATGTAAAATGGAAGATTTAGAAGATATGCAGAAGCGTAACATGTGTCATTTTGCCAAGGCTGCTTAATGTTACCTGTGAAGATCCGGATTAGAATTGGTCTTCAGCAACCTATGCTTGACATAAGAGGCCACTAACGGGATCGGGTGGTCAGGCTCGCTGACTTGGCTGACACATATCATCATATCCCCATTGTGTAGATGGATGCTCACACTGTTGATCACTGGGTTGTCTGGTCCAGACTCGATTAATTACAGACCACTGCCATATAGCTGGAATATTGCTGAGTGCAAACTAAACTCACTCACTCACCTATATTCATGACACATCATATATGCTTCATGGTGTACTCGCTGCAGCTCTGCTGGATACAATACCATATTGCCATATCGTCACACCACTATTAATCATCTTGATAGTCATACACAGGTGCAAATGATTAAATTTAGATCTGACATTCAGTTTAACAGCATGGACCAATTTATGTTTCAATATTTCATCATTATGATTTTTTTATAATTAAATGTTTGGAATATTATTAATATAGTGCAATATGTCATATTTGATATTTGGACTCTTTAATGTTTTGAGACTTTTTCGCGTCCTCTTTCCCAAACCCATTGTTAGTCATGTATTGGTGTTGGATGGGGATTTAAGCAATAAGATTTTAGTAGTTGCATTTATCAGTTATCTTTTCGATCTGTCTTGTCTATATAGTTATGATAAAGATCATGATTTCATGTGCCATATGTACAAAGGTAGACTCCTTGCAAGTTAGCTTAGGAGGAGATTTCTGTGCAATGGTCAAAGTTAAAATCCATATCTCTCAATTTTGCAGACTGACGTTTTAATTAATGTTTCATTGTATCCTTGATGCTTCCTTTGTTGCCATGGTTACCAGAGTTTAGAAACTGAGGGTATCCTGGGGACTTTGCTATGATAGTGTTTGAAAGAAAGCTTGAATATAAAGTTTACATCTCACGGTGTCTGAGGAGTAAAATATGTTCCCAGTATTTTTGAAAGTGCCACTGCAATTGATTACAATGTGTGAAACATTTGTGGTGTCCCCTGTCATGATATTGCTGTAAGATTGCTAAATCCTTCATAAGCCATGCTCACTAACTGCATTTTGATAGGATTGTCAGGCTCGTTGACTTGTTGGGCTGCATGTCATCGTATCCTCACAGCACGAGAGGTTGATCATGAGTTCTGGCCCTCTCCGGAGTAGACTATTAATGCCGTCGTGTAGCTGGATTTTTGCGTTAAACAACAATTATCCATCATCCTTAGAACTCACGGCATGGACTCTAAAACTGCCTTGCTGGACCAGTGTCTAAAGATGGAAACTGATGAAGAGTTTTTCAAGTGACAGTCTGTGCAATAAGTGATATTTTCCAGCCTAAGGCCAGACCAATTTTATTTCTTGTTTTACGGATCCACCGGTCATATTAAAAAAAAATAATAATAATTTTCCCCGCTCGAAAAATAAAATTTTACTGTTTTTATTGGCCAAAAATGTAAACTTGCAAGAATGTATTTTAGATTGTTTTTTGCCCCATATACACTTCATTAATTGCCAAAAGTAAAATTATTTTTTAGTATTTAAAAGGAATGTTACTTTGACTGGTGATTTTTATTTTTTTTTTTTCTCCTCCTGCCTTTAGGTTTTCTGAGGACAAAAATCCGTAAAACAAGAAAGAAAATTGGTCTGGCCTAAGCTTTTTTCTGTTTGTCACTTCCAATGAGAGATTAATTGTAGTAATATGAAAGAGTTGGTTGGTACTTGAGTAGTACACATATCATTAGCTGTTTCTCCCAGGTCACTTGTTGATCGTGTTGTGATAACCATGATGAACCATGTTGCCAAATGTCTGCCTTTGTCCCAAATAGTGGTTGTAATATCATTACGACAGTTATGTGTTGTGTTATTTAGCAAATTGTTTGAAACATATTCACTATCATGATCATATACTTACTATCATTGTCCACACTACATCATGTTGCTAATTTTTGAATGCCTAATAATGTTGCCAATGATTGTGATAAACATTGTTCACTTATTCATCAAATTGATGAGAACCGATTTATTATTGACTTCTTGTTGTATTTTCATTGATCATAGTTATGATTAAGATGCACATGTCTTCCTAAAAGTATGGGGTACATAGATGGTGAATGGTAGAGTTGTGCCCCTTAGTTTAGTAAGTATCCGCTGATGATTATTCTTGGTTTGACAGCACCATACTCATATCCCAGTGTTTCCTCAAAGTGTCCACAGTATCCTATGCTCACTGTACAAAGCAGGGGGCATGGGTGATGCAGTTTTAATCCCATTTTGCCATGATATGTTTCTATGTTTGTCAATGCCATTCCTGTTCTCTTGGGTTTCATATTGTGGTAAAAAGCTAACATCTGCTTCACTTTGGGCATTCCTCCCAAATCAAGATGACACTGGAATACTGTTTAAAGCGGTGTTAACTGAACTCACTTACTCACTAACTCACTGTTGTATAAATCAACATAATGGATGATACTGAAGGGATTAATCTTCTTGATCTAATCCTACCAGAGGCCAATATTAACATCTACAGTCAGAATCCCAAAATGCCTTTTAACATTTCCCAGTTCATGATGATATTTATATACTGACATACAAAAGAAAGTACACACCTGGTGATTTCGGGACTTCCCCACACGTTTGTGTCTTGGTAGTCACCATCAAAATACTTATCAAAATATTTGAATTATTATTATCATTAATTTTTTAAACATAATTCCCCAAACCAGGTGTGTACTTTCTTTTGTACATCAGTTTGGTTCTATGTTCCTGTGAAATATATGTGACATCTGATCATATGCCTTGGTAGAGGTGACTTGTACAGTGTTCACGAATGGTGTTTCAAAGTAACAGGACATTGGGTCCTGTTAGTTTTAGATGTCCCTGCCGTGATATTGCTGGAACATTGCTAAAATCAGTGTAAAACTAGCTTATTCACTCACTTACAGAATGATTTTCATTTAAGTACAATTCTTCATCTGCACATGTGAGTGCTATTTACGTCATGTGGTTGACAGGTTTCAGTGTATGGGCAACAGTACGCAGGGTATGTTCTTTACATCATATTGAAACATAGGGCAGTTTTTGTGGTTCGTTCTGATATTACTCACTTGTTGGCCATACTAGTTCACCATTGTTTGTTTGATATACCAATTTACCATTACCGCACTGCATGTCGTGTATGGGGCATGGCTGTACCATACTTGACTTGAAATATATTATATTGATAGACTTATACATCGTCTTATACAGTGGTCTCACCATTAACAAGAACATCTATTTCAGTTAAAATAAAGATTTTCTATTTTTATGGTATATTGAATTATTATGATATGAAATCAACCCAAATCATCATAACTATGATAAGTATTGGAACCAGTAATTCCAGAGATGCCAACCTCTACGATTTTATCGTAGTCAGCTACGAATTTTAGCCTCAACCTATTTTTAAACTAATTCTACAAAATTTGCAGAAAATTAATTAATATTCAGATATATACACAAAAACATAATTTTCGTTGATTAAATACATTTTCGCCTAAAAAACGAGAAGAAGAAATGTAATGCTGATAATTTGGAAATCTGGTGTTGCTCTCTTTTAAGGTTCCTTGGAGGTATGTGAAATTAAAGCTTCACTCTTGATTAGTGTCATATTATCTTTCTCAGAATCCATCATGACTTTAAGTGTTTAGCTGACTACTAATTTTATGGTCAGACTACTAATTTTGATCCTTGAAAATACTATTTGCAACACTTTGGGGTTGACATCTCTGCAATTCATATGGGAGAGGTTTTCTAATAGTAATTTCTTAACCATATAATGTATAATTTCATCTTGTAACGCTAGCTACAGGCAGGTGTATGCTAGTTTCAAATGGGAACCCTTCAGCTCCTCTTATGTTTGTAAACCTGCCAAAGTCAAAACCTCAGGAAAAACAATCATCATGGTATCTATTCATCATCATCATCATCATTATCATCATTGATAATCATTTAAGGCTATGTTTACACATTGTGTCTCCATAGTGACATATTCAGCATGAGCATGATGTCATGTTTTGTCACAATTTCATATTATTATTATTTATGAATCATTATAAACATCAGTTTTTTATGTTGAGTAAAAGGATTATCAATACTAGGTTGTAAGCTACTTCATACATTTATTATTAGCATTGCATATTCTCGCCTGTCCGACAGCTCTTTGATGGTCTGTTTTGTGGTCGGACGGTCAGTTTTAAAAAGTAGAACACGGATGGTCAGGCTGTTATTGTGTAATGTACTCCATGCTATCCAGGTATGGATGAATCTGACTTGGATTATAATGAATAATCCATGTTGACTGAAACACATTTGAAAATGCCCCACTGTGTTATTATTCTGACAATAATTATCTGATATCAAACGGTTATTTTCTCAAATTTACCTTCTTGTTGGTTTTGTTAGTCCAGAAAGTTTTGGACTGCCAGCATTTTATCCGATCTGGTAACTTTGGAGAGTTGCTAGACCGGTCGTCTGGATGAAATTTTTGGGGAATTTTCAATACTGTTACTAAATGTCTTGTTTACTTTTTCATTTTTTTCTCAACTTACAAGTCAGATTTAACATTAGCCTATTGGTGATTCTATTAATGTCTTCTGTATTATGTGATCTGGAAGTAATTGAAAGTTTTATAGTTAGACACCCTTATCTTTATAATGAAGTGTATAGCACAGTCTGTACCCTAGTGTTCAGAGTCTACAATCCGAAATCTGGCTTGGTATTATTTTCAGTACATTTCAGTGTCATTGTATAGCAGTGTTTTCTCTGGCATTTTTTACAGCTGGACATTGTGACCGGCTAGCATTTCAAATACCGGTCATTTGTAAATTTTACCAGTCACATGATCACGCTTTTCATTGTGGACGAGACCTTGCACCCCTAACAACCAATCAGAAATGCAGAGGGTATCGCAATGCATCAATGTTGCTATTTTTAGCCTGGGGTTTTATAAAACTGCTATTTTTTATTTGACAACACTTCGATGTCATTGTGAAAACGTAATCTTTTTCGAGGAGAGGTAAAATTGACAGAGGTAATTAGAAAATTGATTTTAGAATTTGCCGGACACGATGACCGACAACTTTTAAAATTTGACATTCTAACTTTGTGCTGGTCTAAGTCTGGTATATACCAGATAACGGAAACACTGTATATAGACTTTTTATTTATTGGCATGACCAGAATACATTATTTTGTTGATGAAAGTACTGATTTTGTTTTAGAATGTTTTGCACACATAACACAGGAAATGTTGATGCACCATCAGAGCGTGACCAGTGTTTGGTGTTTTTACCATGTTATAAATAATGACAATTTTGCTTCCACAAGAATAATGCTTATCAGTATTGCTTCTTGCACTTTGTATATGAAAACTAGTCAGAGTTTGAGGTGACAGGGCTGGCTGTTGATCGCAGAGATCTAAAATCATTAACTGTATATCGATTGATTAACGATAAATACCTGAGAATTAAAATGTTTAAAAATCTTAAAGAAAGCTACAAATTTCACATCACTGGTGAGTGGTGACACATTATGCTTGAATTACTAACCAAACTGTTCTGATCATGATTTTGAAGTAGCCTATGAATAAACTATGTATTATCTGCATAAATTAAAGCTTTATTTGGATATTGAAAACTAAATTTTCATGTAATCATTAATAATATAACGGTAATGCTATTTTTGAGGGCATTATCATTTGCAGAAGCCTGAGGTCTTCCATTAGTTGAAAAAGACCGAGGGCTTCTGCAAATGATAATACCCTCAAAAAAGCATTAGCGTTATTATTGCTAAAATACATGGAATTTGTGTTGAAAAGAAAAAGGAAACAATGAAGGAATTTGACTGTAAGTTTACTGCCCGAATGCAATTACATCATCGAACAATTCAAGTGACGTCACAACAGAAAGTGACGATATTCGGCCTTGGCCTTTGACAAGACCATAGCCTGCAACATGTCAAACTATGTCAGTGTTCGGTTTTGGTCCAACAACAACGTTAGTAGTGCAATTGTTGAGGTTAGCACCAGCAAGAAAGCCAATATTACCGCTATTTAAAGCGGGAATTCGAGTTGCTTTGACTTGTTTCACCCAGAATATCTGCCAGTCCAAAGCCAATGTCGAATGAACCGTAAGCCCACACACCCACTATGATGTCACTTGACAACAGAACTGATAGTGGCCCGTCATTAAGGTTGAGCGGTCCAATATCATTTGCAGCGGCCCACAAATATCTGATAATGGGAGGGCCGTTTCATGATAATTCCATGTATTTTAGCTATAATTTTTAATATCAATGATATTTCTGATTATCGGCCTTTTTAGCCAGTCCTAGAAGTTGATCATCATGGTCATTGTAAATCGGGAACTGAACCATATTCAGAGGAAACGTTTAGCTGAGACAAATGTAGCCTGAATCTTGGAACCAGGACAGCCAGACAGTGATAGTGTTTGGTTTGTAAGAATCATCTTTAAACCTGACGATGAACTTGTTAGCTCTGATGGTCTTTTGCCTGTATGATCTTGGAATGATTTCAACACTGTTCAGGTTTTCTTGGATGCACTTGACTTGAATATCCAAGCATTACTAATCACAGGCTAAGATCATTTTAACAATGTCATCGGTGATGATTTCTCAGCATTTTGGTACCGTACTATATAGAGTATTGTACCCTCATGTCGTTAAATGCCTACAATATCAACATGATTCAGTAAAACTTTAAAGCTCTGATACATGCCAATGAGTTTTAAACTGTTATTGACAAATATTGATATTCAAAGTTAAGAGTGAGATGATATTTATCATCCAATATCTTTCTTCTAACTTTTTCAATTTGTTAGAAGTAAAATCAAGTTTCAGTTGTGTGAAAAGAACTGCTAACCAGTTTTGGTTAGATGTTATTGTTGACAATTTATGGTGATGTCATGGTAACCAGTGATGTTCCAATGGTCCTCAAAGTACTGTGATGCAATTTCATTGTAGCAATATGTCCCATGAGGCATTGCTTGATCTCACCCAGGTGTTATCACATGTGGAAACCAGTTTTTGAAGATAATTATCAGTCCATAGACAGTTACTGTGAAGTGTCCATTTGCAACATATCAACAATGTGATCATTATTCTTTAGTTATTCCATAACTTTTGAATGTATCAATTGAAAGCTATGTATTCGGGGAGCTATCTTTGGATATAAATGGCTATTGGGAGCCTTGTTGTTTGTGAGGAAACAAATTAATCTTGGAGATAATAACATGAATTATAGTAATAATAATAATGTCATTTTTATAGCACTGAACTCCACACGCACTGGCGTTCTCTAAGCACATACAACATAATGGACATTGATACCCTGAATAACCCAAACCGCCTTTGGGGTGATAGAAGGGTAATAGTCATATGACTTATCCCACCAGGTACCCATTTTCTGCTAGGTGAACAGATTTATAACTTGTACAAAGTGAAGTGTGAAGCCTATATTAGTCGAGATGCACAGATTCCATGGAAAAGTGTGTTTTTTCAATAATTGATGACAAGTTTGGTATACAACACACCTCGTTTTTGCCTGTGTAACATCTGGAGAAGAAAGTACAATGTGAGTTTGGAACCACTCCATCCAGGTCCAGAACCCCCATTGTACTTACTACTCAGAGCCACGATATGATTAAAGGATGGAACTACATTCCAGGAGTGTATGGATACATTTCTGTAGGGTGTAACATCAGCGAGTGATTGTCTGGTCAGAAAATAATGCAATAGTATATGTGAGTTGGAGCTGACTGTATGCAATTGTTTCAGGCGTAATAAAAACAGGTTAAACTGTAATCAGTTGTTTGTTGTGTTTTGATCCATAAATTGTTTGATTGTTTGTTTTTTAATGCCGCACTCAGCAATATTCCAGCTATATGGTGGCGGTCTGTAAATAATCGGGCCTGGACCAGACAATCCAGTGATCAACAGCATGAACATCGTTCTTCGCAATTGGGATACGATAACATCCATCAACTATGTCAGCAATCCTGACCTCTTGATCCCGATAGTCGCCTTCTGCTAAAGAGCAATTCTAACTCTGATCTTCATCTGTGTTTTGATCCATGACACATCTAAAGATCTTCACCTCAGTGTTGAAGATTAGTGTGGTTACAGCCTGTACCCTTGCTGGTTGTGTCATCAGAGACATGTGGAGTCCAGGCCCCATTTTCTCGAAACAAACTTAGTTTTTACTCAAATTTAAAACTGAGTTTGACTGACTGAGTTTAGTTTTACGCCGCTTTTAGCAATATTCCAGCAATATCATGGCGGGGGACACCAGAAATGGGCTTAACACATTGTGCCCATGTGGGGAATTGAACCCATGTCTTCGGCGTGACGAGCCAACGCTTTAACCACTAGGCTACCCCACAGCCCCTCAAACTGAGTTTGACATTTTGAAACAGCTGAATTTTTAACTCAACTGCATTTTTAAAATTATAAAGCCCAAATTACTAGTAATCTATCCACCAAACTCAAATTGTACACTATGTTTGAGTTTAATATCGATTTCAGTTCATTCTGGGAAATGCATTTTCCTGCATTTTCTCAAACTTGAGTTAAAACTCAGACTTAAGTTTGTTTCGAGAAGTCGAGGCCAGGTTGTAACTTGTGTACAGCAGTTCATGACGGAATGGATCGGTTGCTCAAGCTAGTAAGGCCATCCTTGCCTGTGGTTAATTGCTCACATTGCCTCATTATATCAATCACTGGATTGCCTGGTCCTGGTCTGATCTTTCACAGGCCGCCCGGAAAGTTGCTGAGCTTGGCATTTAAACAAACCTAGCAATAGTAAAGCTAAGATGATAGAAAAATTGATGGAATACATTTTGGTTAAACGGTCCACACTCAAAACTATTATAGGCCAACATGATATAGCAGTAATATTACTGTTTATGTGATTAATTAGCTGCAACATTTCTGTTTGTGTGATGTTTATCCATACTCACCTGGACATCTTTGAAACAATGCAGTTGCACGATGCTAGTTAGAACCAGGCTAACTGAAGTGCGGGTCTTCACTGTGCAAAACCTGGCATTCTGAACATTGGTTAGCATACTCAAACATACTTACAACCATTCGCTTAGACCCAAAATGGTAGACTGGCATGAAATAACATTCACCGATTGGACCCATTGGTTGGTTGGTTTGTTGTTTAACGCTGCACTCAACAATATTCCAGCTATATGGCGGCAGTCTGTAACTAATCGAGTCTGGACCAGACATTCCAGTGATCAACAGCAAGAGCATCGATCCACACAATTGGGATAAGATGACATGTGTCAACCAAGTCGGCTAGCCTGACCACCTGATCCCGTTAGTTGCATCTTACGACAGGCATGGGTTGCTGAAGACAAATTCTAACCCGGATCTTCACGGGTCTCTGGCTTAGACCCAAGATTTACAGGCTACCACGATACGGCTTGAACATGGCAGTCTGTCATAAAATACTGACTGGCTGAGTTTGGATTTACGCCGCTTTTAGCAATATTCCAGCAACATCACGGCGGGGGACACCAGAAATGGGCTTCACACATTGTACCCATGTGGGGATTCGAACCAAGGTCTTCGGCGTGACGAGCCAACGCTTTAACCACTAGGCTACCCCACCGCCCTGTCATAATATAACATTCACTCACTGGAATGAGGTTTCAATGTCCTGCTGATACATGATTAGCTTGGAACCTGTGTGGTTTCAGAAAACTTAACTCCAAGTATCCAATGCTTGTCACAAGAGCCGCCAAATGGGGTCAGGCTCAGGGACTCAGTGACCTGACAATGTGGGATGAAACAACATAAAACATATTTGAGCATGACCCGAACACGAAATTTTCATGCTTCATATTTTCCACTTTTAATGACATTCTTCGAACAAACAAAAAGAAAGGCATTTATACATATTTATTCATCAGTTCATACAATAGATATAGTAACAAGTCTGAGCACCATGAATCCACACTCGCAACAGTGACAATACAGACAGTCAGTCCTTGACACCTTGTGTAGACGTGTTCAGTATGAAGTCGTGTTGGTTCACAAGTAGTGTCACACATACATGGCTGGAAGAATGCTAACAAAAACATGTCGAAAAAGAAAATGAGAAATATGCTTCATCAACAAACAAAAATTTTAAGTCTTGACCCCAACAACATTTCACTTGTACAATAGTTCTTCACTTGGGGCTCCTTTCTCGAAGCAACCTTTACTAAGGTTAACCTTAACTCCCATTCTTTAACATTGCACTAAGGTTGCCTTAGTGACTTACGATCACATTAGTGCTTTGTGAAAGGAGGCCCTGCAGTGCTTTGATAAAAAATATAAAGAAGATTTATTCCTTCTCATGTGACCCTCTCTGACATAAGTGTATCAATGTCAGAAGAATCAGGCTCCTTGCCACCGCAAGGTTTGCCCCAAATATGTCTGATGTCAATATTTACAGCTCAGGGTACAAAGAGTGAGTGAGTTTGAGTTTAGTTTTACGCACTTTTTAGCTATATTCCAGCAATATCACCGCAGGGGACACCAGATATGGCCTTCACACAATCTACCCATGTGGGTTATTGAACTCGAGACTTTGACGTGACAAGTGAACGCTTTAACCATTAGACTACCCCACCATCCCAGGGTACAATGAGTGAGTGAGTGAATTTAGTTTTACACTGCTTTTAGCAATATTGCAGCAATATAACGGCAGGGGACACCAGAAATGGGCTTCACACATTATACCCATGTAGGGAATCGAACTCGGGCCTCGGCATGACGAGCGAACGCTTTAGCCACTAGACTACCCCACCGCCCCTGAAAATAGTGCATTCTCAGTATCAAGGGAACATTTGTCAGGTATACATGGTACAATGAGCTGTAGTGGAGTTAAGGTGTTATTGAGACACAAAGCACTGTAGGCATCTGCCTGGTATAAATCACAAAATAAACAAGTCATACATGTTGGTACCACAGCTGATGAAACTGAAATAAACTGTTCAACATCGCAACAAAGGATGTGCTATTCCAAGATTTTCCAAACTTTGAACACAAGTAACAGGTGGACAGACTCAAAGCAACAAACTGCCATTTTCCTTTCATTCCATATTTTCCATTCTCATCAATCAGATCACAATTTCACAACGACAAAACTCAAACACAAACTGTAACATGTTAAAGGAGAATTATAAAGCTTGATCCCACCACCACTGTGAAGATCTATATACTTTCTATTAACACTCTTAAATTGCAAATACTAATATTTTCACAAAACGTGGATCCACGGCATGGAATCTGGAATTAGAGCTTTATGAAACCAAAGTAACCCTTGCAAAAAACACCATGAAAATCGTAAATATCAAAATGATATCTGGCAGGTGTAAATTTTTAGAATTATTTTTAAAAGACATGCATGTAAATGAAAAATGCATTGCTTTGTTACTGAAACTGTGTTTCTTTTTATTATCACAGGTGCAGACTTCTGGTTTACTGACTTCTTCTTCAAACAATGAGAGAGTGAGTTCGGTTTTATGTTGCTTTTAGCAATCTTCAAGCAATCGACACCAAAACTGGGTTTCAAACACTGTAACCATATGGAGATTCAAACTGAGCCTTCGGCATGACAAGCGAATGCTTTAACCACTATGCTACCCCACCACCACTCCTAAAATGTTTATTTGGTTGGAACATTTTCTGACAGAATGGTGCCCCTCATGCAATGTGTAGTGAACTGAAACAACCAGAACACACAATGTCAGATTAACATAATACGACCAGCATGCATCAGTGTTCCTTAATCATTATCATATGGAAATAATGGATAATTAAACATAATTTATTAGCACAAATTTCATGGCAGTTGATTGCCTATCCAAACAATTTTGTCTGTGTTTGTTTTCAGGGCTGGAAAAACATTTTGGACAAACCACAGATAGATTTATGATTTCTCACTGATAAGGTTCTGGCAGTCCCGCTTCACAAAGATTAAGACCTAAGATCTCAGTAACTTTTCTCATAGCATTCCTATACTGTAACATAGGAAGTATGAATGCTATGAGAAAAGTTACGAGATCTTAGGTCTACTAGAGCTTTATGAAACGGGCCCTGGATTGTGTTGCCTTCGTTGAGCTGAAAAATGTCACATATTTTGTACTGCCAAAGTATTTATGTAATCAATTATATTTAAATAGTTTGTAAAGTTCTTGTAGTTTATGAACTTATAAGAATTTACAGCGTTTGTGTGTTTATGGAGTTAATAAAAAAGAAAAGAAATAAAACAACCTGGCAAGTATACCTCAATAGATGCAAAATAATATTGCAATCAAGTTTTTGAAGCACCACCCCATCCTGAATTCAATGACCATTTTGTATAGTTTTTCCAGCATTATTTGTATCAACGAATCAGTATTAGACATCTTATAGACAGCACAGCGTAATTACAGTCACATCAACAACACATATATAACGATACCTCACCAACAAAAACAGTTTACATGTTAACAATGTTTAAAATGTTCATGATGAACACTTTGTAGTAGGGCTGGCTATCTGCTCAGACCATAGAGACTGATAATCGTTAACTAAATATCAGCCGATTACTAATAAATATTGGAGAAGTAACTTTAAGCAAAAATGCAAAAGAGTCCAATAGAAATCAACATATTTCATGTCAAAGGTCACTGTTATTTCATACAATGCAAGACAATATCAAAGATAAAATTTTCGCTCAGAAAATTGCTAAGATTTCTTCCCATTGATGAGATTTCAAATTATTGATCTTTTCATTGACTGACTGAGTGAGTTTGGTTTTCACCAAAGATTACTATAGTGAACCAACGATCGTATGGGATTCGAACAGACCTTCTGTGGATCCTTGCATGCATAATGGGGCGAAACTCTTCGAGTACATGAAGCTATAGTGAGTGAGTGAATATGGTTTTACAAGCTTTTAGCAAATTTCCAGCAACATCACGGCGGGGGACACCAGAAATGGGCTTCACTCATTGTGCCCATGTGGGGATTCGAACCCGGGTCTTTGGCGTGACGAGCCAACGCTTTAACCATTAGGCTACCCCACCGCCGCTGATCTTTTCAACCAGCCCTACATGGTAGCTATAGTTCCAACATAAGGCAAGAAAGTGACAAACTGATTGTAAAAAAGCTAAGTTTAGTCATAGACAGAATCAGTGAGCAAGGGCAAGCAGACAACCCACGGATCATAATCTGAGAGAATCTGGAATTGAACCTTGCTCATCAGATCCTGGCTGGAGTGAGGGAGACAACTCTGAACATGAAATTGTCACAACTTCGTTGCTGGTTGTACAAATATGGTGAGAATCAAATGTTATTCTTCGATGTGTCTGGCACATGCTTGAAACAATAGGCCACCACCACCCTACTTAGTCTCTACCTACACGTTTCGCCATATAACTTTACATGCAAATTCTATACAGGCACTCACCACATATCCAGTGTTAAAAATTAAATGAATCATGTCACCTTCAGTGTCTACATACAACTAGATTTATGTTTCTAATAACCTATGAATAGGGACAACCATGTTTTTAATGTTAAGCTTAAAAACAAGTCATTCTTTAACTTTCAAATTAAAGTGAGTGAGTGAGTGAGTTTGGTTTTATGCCGCTTTTAGCAATATTCCAGCAATATTGCGGCGGGGGACACCAGAAATGGGCTTCTCACATTGTACCCATGTGGGGAATCGAACCTGGGTCTTTGGCTCCAAATTAAAGTGTGATGAGTAATAAGAAGAGTCATGACAAATTAAGTAATATCGCCTTGGTGATAATGGTGCCGTCATCCCCTACAATATCAGTGAGTGAGGGAGTATGGTTTTACACCCTTTTTTTTATTGTGTTTGGTGTATAATGCCACACTCAGCAATATTCCAGCTATATCGTGGCGGTCTGTAAATAATCAAGTCTTGACCAGACAATCCAGTGATCAACAGCTTGGGCATCAATCTATGCAAATGGGAAACGATGACATTTGTCAACAAAGTCAGCGAGCATGACCACCCTATCCGTTAGTCACGATAAACATGGTTTCTGAAGACCAATTCTAACCTGGATCTTTACAGGTTTAGTTTTAATTAAAATATCTCTTCTTATCAGTTCAAAAACAACAATAATTAAATATTAAATACCTGCAAATAATTCTTTGACATCACAGGAGCAGCTCTGCTCAAAAGCAAGTATAAATTTTCTGATACACTATATATATCTTGGTATCAACATTAATGCCAGTGCATTGATATGAACATGATTCCACAATCAAACTGTGTTCAACACGTCCAAGCAGTAGTTACTTTTGAAAAGTACTGTAATGAGCATTTCAAATATGCATGACATGATATTAAGACGATGACAGAAAATGAGTTTAATTCAATAGTAGTATCAAGATACATCCACAAATCAAACCAAACAAGTACAATACTAAGAAGAACATTAATACTTAAGACCAGTATTGCAACAAGCACGACTAACAAAGAACATGGACAAAATCCCACCTCAAGAGCTCGTTGCTGTCTACTATTTGTTGTTCACCTTAACTGAGTGAGTTGGGTTTTACACAGCTAATTTCTTATTTAAGAGACAAGAATGACAGTGGGCACTCTACTGACTCATCATCTTCAGTTCCACAATGCAGTATTTCTGAGTGAGTGAGTGAGTATGGCTTTACGCTGCTTTTAACAATATTCCAGCAATATCACAACTGGGGGCACCAGAAATGGCAGTATTTGAGCTTTGAAGACAGTAATTCTCAAAAACTCTTTAAAAGACTTTTATTATTCTTTAAGAATGTCTCATTTATGGACCAGGACATAACCATTTGTGCCCATTACTGTAACACTGTTAACATACCTTTCTAAAAATCACAAAATATCAGACTTCATATTATCTAACAAAGACGTTGGAATGGTATCTGAACTGACATACATTGAAAAAACAATAAAAATATCACCGAAAAAACAAAATACCCACAGTTACCATGACTTTTGAAAAATCATAAAAAACTACTTTAAAAAACTCCGTTCAAACTTGTTTAAAATATCTTTTGAAAAATATCAAACTCAGCGGAAACCATGGTAACAGATTGATCCAATCTATGATCAACAACTTTAGTTGTTAGCAGTGAGTAACAGTCATTGGCTAAAGACACCTGTCCATCACTCAAACTGACCAATCAAAACCATCATGTATACTCCTACAAGCAGGGCACCAATCTCTTTGATTGACTGACTGAGCTTACAGTCTACAAGCAGTTCAGGTATAACAGACACAGTGGCGATGTAGATGAAGCCCCCTGCGGTGAAGGGGAGGATCCAGGCAGTAGCAACATCGCCGATACCCTCGGCAAATAAGCTGCAAAGAGTTCCTAGCATGGCGCCTATGGCTGTAGAGAACTGAAGCATCATGGCCTGAAACAGAGAGTTATATAGGATATATATCCTGAACACATTCGCCACCACAGCTTAATCTGGGACGTGATGTCACCATCTGTCAACTAGCATTCATTTTAAGGCCAGATCAATCTTATTTCTTGCTTTATGGATATTTGTCCTTAGAAAACTTAAGGCAGGAGGGGAAAAAAATCACCAGTCAAAGAAATATTCCTTCAAAATACTAAAAGTATCCGGATCCGTAAAACAAGAAATAAAATTGATCTGAGTTTGGTTTGGTTTGTAGTTTTACGCCGTACTCAGCAATCTTTCTGCTGTATGGTGGGGGCTGTAAATAAGTGAGTGAGCGAGTTTAGTTTTACGCTGCACTCAGCAATATTCCAGCTATATGGTGGCGGTTAAATAAGAAAGTATGGACCACACAATCCAGTGATCAACAGCATGAGCATCTATCTACACAACTGGGATACACTGACTTGTGTCAACCGGGTCATGACCTTCTGATCCTGTTAGCCGTCTCTTACGACAAGCATGATTACTGTAGACCAATTCTAACCTGGTTCTTTAAAGCAGGGCTCCAGATAACTATTTGGGGTGTGAGTGTACTTACACATCATATTGCAAGTGGAGGTGTACTGAGAATTTTGAAGGAGTACTGACATGTTTTTGTGTGAGCGAGTTGGTGATGTGGTTTGTCTGGACGATTCATCAATCACTATTTCCAACCATGTATTTCTATTTGAAGATGCGTGAGAAATAACTGAGCGACCGTGTGATGCACGAAATGTCAGGTCCGACTGGATATAAATAGGAACAGTGTAGTTTTTAGCCAATCGAAAAATAGTGACGCATATCGTTGCGTGGCAACGCAAGTGATTCCTACTGTCGGGGTTTCCTCATGTGTCAAATCGTGTTTCGCTAAAGAAACTTGACAAGTATTTATCCGAAATAGATTTTCATTTGCACGGAAATTAAATGTTAGACGTACATAGGTATTTATGTGTGTACACGATACGCTTGAAATCTTATATTATGTCGTACTTAATTGATTTTGAGGTGTACATTACGCCTGTACGCCCCTTATCTGTAGCCCTGTTAAAGGTTTAGTTTAAGTAAAATATCTCTTGCTTATGAGTTAAAAACAATAATAATTAAACTGAACCTGTGTCCCATGTCTATAGTCATAATCAGAGCCTTGGTTGAGTGATTCCCTGATTGCAAATAGACACTTGTGACTTAGTCCTAACCTAAAGAACTAATGGTATTCACTGAACTTGAAGACATTTATAAATCAATAAAGCTCTCTAATATGTCACAAGTTTAGAAATCCTACATTTTGATTAGATTTAATTTTGCTTTGAATTTTGGCCAGTTAGTACGAATACCAGAACATATCCCACTACACTATTAGGAAGGTATTATGTTATGGGATGTCCTCAGATCTTTGTGTAATGGTAGCAAGGATGACAATCTGATTCTTACCAGTCCTTACCAATGTACGACATAATTTACACTCCCATCTTTCCAGTCTGGCTGGCGATTTATAAATTTAACCAGTCCTCGAAGATGCAGGCCCATATATGTACATTGCTACAGTAGTTAATCATTAACATTTTTCTTAGAATCACTTCACTATAACGTATACATTTTAAGATACTTTAAGATATGCACCCAAACTGTCAGACAGGCAGCAATTTCTCAGATGTGAGCGACTTGTATCCATGTTTGATTCAAGATTGTCAATGTAACTGAAAAACATTTTCTTATAGGTCTGGCATGTAGGTGTAAATGTCACCTATCCCGAAAGAGTGAGTGAGTAAGCGAGTTTGGTTTTATGTATGGTTTCAGCAATATTTCAGCAATATCACAACGGGGGACACCTGAAATGGGCTTCGCATATTGTACCCATGTCGGGTATCGGACCCAGGTCTTCGGCAGGACGAGTGAACGCTTTAACCACTAGGCTACCCCACCACCCCTATATCCATCTACAGGACTGCTTGGCAGATGATCTTTCAGACACTTGGCCTAGCTAAAAGTGCTGGAGTGATGGTCAAAGGGAGATAACTCATCTTCGTCTCCCAACCAATCTATTGACGGCACACATAGAAACTGTTTCAATTACCTTCTGTTTCGTGCATCCGGACTGGACAAGGATGGCAAAATCACCAATTTCATGGGGTATTTCATGCAGGAATATGGTGATGGTGGTGATAATACCGACATTCTGGCTGATTAAGAAGGAAGCCCCGATAGCAAGGCCATCAGTGAAGTTGTGGGCGAAGTCTGCAGCCAGGTTCAGGTAGCCAGCTACCTTGATGTCGCCTTGCTCAGTGTCTACAACAAGATATGGAAATCAAAGGTTAACATAGATGAATGGCAAGTACTACAGGCTCTAGGCAATGTCAGATAAGTCTATATGACAAGAGTTTTGTCAATATGACAGCATTCTGTATCTGGACTTGACAACTGGGTGATTGGTATTGTTTGCTGTTTGCTTAATGCCTCACTCAGCAATATTTAAGCCGTAAGATGGCAGGTTTGCAAATAATCGAGTCTGCAGAAGACAATCCAGTGATCAATAGCATGAGCATTGATCTGCAAAATTGGGATTGGTTATACCACATTCTGAACTTCTTCAGAATGTCTTTGAGCCAAACCGCCTGTAATGGTGTTTAGGCTACAGGGTGTGAGACATAAATCAGTAACTCGACGTTAAATGTCAAAATCGGACATCAATAACTGTCACTGGGTCCCTTTGGTTTGTAATGGACAGCAAATACTTAGATTACAAGTGAGTGATCATGAGTGAGTGAGTGAGTGAGTTTAGTTTTACGCCGCACTCAGCAATATTCCAGCTATATGGCGGCGGTCTGTAAATAATCGAGTCTGGACCAGACAATCCAGTGATCATGAGTGAGTTGGGTTTTATGCTGCTTTTACTAGTGACTTTCCCAGTGACTTTCTGACGAGTAGACTGTTGTTTCATTAAATCTAATGTGTGAGGTGAGGTGAAATTGGGTTTAACGTCGTGCTTGAGAATATTTCGCTCATATGACGACGTGCATGCGTGTGTATGTGTATGTGCGGCTTGTACTAGCCCAGACGTAAGCTGGTGTTATATAGTGCTAGCTCACTGAGATTCCATGCCGCAGTGAAGCATGAATACCCCACTCAGACACATTATACTGACTCTGAGCCGACCAGTCCTTGTTGTACCCATTAATGCAGAGAGCCAGGCAGGGACCAACAAGTACCATATTTTAACGTCTTTCGGTATGACGCGGTCGGGGATCGAACCCGCGACCTTCCGCTTTCCGGGCGGACGCTCCAACCAAATCTAATGTGTAGCTTGATAATACTGACATGAATTCATTCTCTGTTTAGAAAGATTTACCCTTCTTAGCAGCTTCCTTCTTCTCCACTTTCTTCTCTGCTTTCTTTCTCTTCTTCTCTTTCTTCTCTTCCTTCTTCTCCCCCTTCTTCTCTTCCTTTTTCTCTCCTTTACTCTTCTCTTCCGACTTGCTCTCTCCCTCGTCATCACTTGTCTTTGCCTTTTTCTTCTCCACTGGCTTAGAAGGTTGTGGGGCATGGGAGTGGCTGTGGCCGTGACCATCTCCTTTGACAAATCGGACGAACTTCTCAACGACGAGGAAGGCGATTATACCAGCCAACACCCACAAACCTACTGACATGTTATGTCCACCGTGTTCGTGCGAGTGTCCGTGATCATGTGAGTGACCATGGTCATCCCCATCGCCTCCATGTGAGTGAGGAGACACTGCATGTGGAATAAGATGGAGGAACGCATCACCAAGGAGACCACCCGAGGCGAAACTTAACAATATCTTCAGCAGGGACTCGTGTTCTGAGGTATTGTCGAGGGGAATCACAAGCAGTATGAAAACCGGTGACACGCTTATGAATGCCGTTGCACCAATAGCTTTGATCCACAGAAGCCAGTCTGTTTCTTTCGCTTTTGGCGGTTTTGGTCTCGCGTCTTCCCATTTCTTGTATTCTTCGGTGTGATCTTCATGATGTCCCCCGTGAGCGTGACCGTGTCCCCCGTGAGCGTGACCGTGTCCCTCGTGATCATGGGCGTGCCCATGTCCACCATGGTCATGGTCATGAGCGTGGCCGTGTCCCCCGTGAGTATGTCCGTGTGCCCCATGATCATCTTCCTGGGCTTCGTTTGCCTGTTTGCTGTATTTAAACGACGCCGGTTCGTCGTGGCTGTGACCGTGGTCGTTTCCGTGGTCATGAGCGTGGCCATGTCCATGTGCATTAATAATATTGGTTAAAACAAACCCAGAAATTAACACTGAAAGCAGTAACAGCCGGTAACGTGATTTCACACTGGGAGCAGCCATCTTGGAACCTGACACGAGTTTGTGTACGTGGCGTTAGGTGGCGCTGTGAGCGATGTCAACAAATACACGTGGCTTTCCGTCAGGGCACCTGTAGAATATGACGAGCAAATTCTCATGCTGTCGAATCGTACCATTAATGTATCATGAATTATGTCGGATATCAATAACATCTTAACATGTAAATAAGCAAAATTTAAAACAAAACAATTTATACATCTTTCGATTTGAAATAACAGATCTACCGTGATAAGATCGAACTCGTTCCGATAAATAGATAGAAAAAACAACAACAACAACAACACGAGTTATTTCCTTCACTGAAGTCACCTTAGGGAAAATGCGTAAAATGGTTAGGTTTCCATGACTACTGGTTTATTTACAGACGACAAAACTGTAATCAAGATCCCCGAAGTCCACGGGGAATGTGACGATATCTGATGATTTTACGAGCGCTTCATGTGTTTAAGCCCAACGCCATTTCACGATCTACCAACCAGAATGATTTGGCTTCGTAACGTCGATATAAAGTCGATATAAAGTTATACGGACATGTTTCCATTTGTGAGTTGTGTCAAAGAAGAAAACGAGAAAGTTCCCGTAATGTATAAAAATGGTACATGTTTGGGTGATGGAGTTGGTGTGTGTGTGCGTAGATATGTACTTTTTGTATTGGTAACGTAATTCTGTTGGGCTGACGCCTTTGGTCACTCTGTCACGTATTTTAAATGTATGGTATATTCGTTCTGTTACCATATATCATATCTCCATTCTCTCATTATGTACTTTTTCTCCAGTTTGTCGGATGTATATATATTCCCACCATTCTTCCGTTCTCTAAGTAATGTAATGGGCGGTGGGGTTGCCAAGTGGTTAAAGCGTTCGCTCGTCACGCCGAAGACCCGGGTTCGATTCCCCACATGGATACAATGTGTGAAGCCCATTTCTGGTGTCCCCTGCCGTGATATTGCTGGAATATTGCTAAAAACGGCGTAACAACCAAACTCACTCACTCAGTAATGTAACATGTATTAGGCTGGATAACTGGGGATGGTGTTTATATCAGTCCATCATAGCAACATATTATATATAACCCTCAGGCAGTTGTACAGTCATATAGTCCGCATGCAAAGCTGCTAATATCTTTGCATGAGTGAGTGAGTTTAGTTTTACACCGCACTCAGCAATATTCCAGCCATATGGCGGTCTGTAAATAATCGAGTCTGGACCAGACAATCCAATGATCAACAGCATGAACAACGATCTACGCAATTGGAATACGATGATATGTGTCAGCGAGCCTGACCACCCGATCCCGTTAGTCGCCTCTTACAACAAGCATGGGTTACTGAAGACCAGGGCGGTAGGGTAGCCTAGTGGTTCAAGCGTTCGCTCGTCACGCCGATGACCCGGTTCGATTTCCCACATGGGCACAATGTGTGAAGCCCATTTCTGGTGTCCCCCGCCGTGACATTGCTGGAATATTGCTGAAAGCGGCATAAAACCAAAACTCATTCACTCACTACTAGTGTTGGGAATCGGTTAAAATCTCATTATTGATGATTGGTTTATTACCACCGACCAATCATCGAAAATAATTGGTTAGCGTCATTTATGAAATTTGTTAAAGCACAAAAAAATAAGGAAAAAACGTAGTTATTTGGGGTTTTTTTTGGCAAAAGTTTACATCTTTCAAGGATGACTAGTAGGTTAGGAACATACATTTCTTGGTGTCTTTAAGATAAATTCAATCATGACTTGGAACGAGCTTGTAGTGATTATGAAACGTAACAGACAAAACCAACCTTGTGAAATATATTGTTGATAAAAACAAGTGTTCCAGAATTGTTTGTGTTCGATTATGAGAAAACATGATCGATTGCTTGGTCGTTTAGTCACTGCGACCAATCTTCGATTATTTCAATTAATCGGACCACCACTACTCACTACTGAAGATCAGAAGCCGCAGGGGTTGGTAACTGGGAACTCGTGGGAACCGCTCAGCCAACGAAACACGTACGTGAAAAGACCACACTCCATATTTCTAATTTACAAGAGCATGTCAAACGTTTCGGTGTTGCCTGTCGCGTATTTTCTGGTCGCCCATGTCATCCATTTGAAACGCTCGTAATATCTCCTCGACCACTCATGCCAAGCTAGCGCAAGCCTAGACTAACGCTTATAAAAATAGTCTCTGAATATATATAATTTGAGGTGAGGTGAGGTGAAATTGGGTTTAACGTCGTGTTTGAGAATATTTCACTCATAAGACGACGTGCATGCGTGTGTATGTGTATGTGCGGCTGCTTGTACTAGCCCAGACTTAAGCTGGTTTTATAGTGCTAGCCCACTGAGATACCATGCCGCAGTGAAGCATGAATACCCTACTCAGACACATTATACTGACTCCCGAGCCGACCAGTCCTTGTTGTACCCATTAATGCCGAGCGCCAGGCAGGGACCAACAAGTACCATATTTTAACGTCTTTTGGTATGACGCGGTCGGGGATCGAACCCACGACCTTCCGCTCTCCGGGCGGACGCTCTAACCACTACACCACGGAGGCGGTCATACTTAATTTGAATAGTAACAAACAAACCCATATAAATTGAAAAGGAGCCCCGGGGAGACCAGGGATTCCTGAACCTGAGGGCTTTAGCATTTTAGGGAGGGCTTGGCAGTAGTGAAAATAATGTGGTTCAGGGACTGTGAGACTAGCGCAACCCCGGTGCCCTGTAATAAAAACAATGTAGGAGACCCAACGCATGAAACATTATGTTGTTATATTTCAAACAATCTTTCGAAAACGTAATTACAAACTCTTAACAGATTCGTTATACATATACTCCTCAAAACTAGATACGGAACATCAGCTTTCCCCATGTCATGAAATTATAGTATTAGGAAAGAAGCGCGCGAGTTTAACTTGTTGAGTAGTGTATTAATGTGTTATGTTGATGTACGTCAGGGAATATGGTACTATATCTTCTAAACAATTTTGGGCGGTTGGGTAGCCTAGTGGTTAAGCGTTCGCTCGTCAAGCCGAAGACCCGGGTTCGAGTCCCCACATGGGTAGAATGTGTGAAGCCCATTTCTGGTCTCCCTCGCTGTGATATTGATGGGGATATTGCTAAAAGCGGCGTCAAACTAAACTCACTCACTCCAAACAATTTCACGAAAATGTACAGCGGAACTCGTCTGTGTCAGGAAATATTCCGAAATATGAACCCAATTTACTCGACTCAGTATTCTGGTCATGTTTCGTTAGATTTTTTAAATTCGTTATTAGAGTACTGCTTATGGGAAAGTCTTGTAATATTCTTCATACATCCCATTCCAGCACAAAAACATATGGAAATTTGGGCCTGACATCTGAGTTCAGACATCTGAGTCACATTTGTGGAATAATTCACCTCCGAACAAAAGAACTAAGCACTTTTAATTCATTGCTGAATGAGTGTGTGAGTGAGTTTAGTTTCACGACACTCTCAGCAATATTCCAACTATTTGGCGGAGGTCTGTAAATAATCGCGTCTGGACCAGACAATCCAGTGATCAACATCATGAGCATCGATCTGCGGAAGGGGTAGGATCCCGTTAGTCGCCTGAAGTTACTGAAGACCAATTCGAACTCAGGCTCGCTGACTCGGTTGACACATGTCATCGTATCCCAGTATTGTAGATCGATGCTCATGTTGCTGATCACTGGATTGTCTGGTTCAGATCGCCGTCATATAGCTGGTATATTGCTGAGTGCAAATACAATCTTGAGATTTTGTTCTGATTGGAACTGCTACTGATAGACCAGAACATGTTCACTCTCTCTTGAACACCTGGTGTCAACACTCATTTCCATCCTTTCATATAGGGTTCTTCATTCTTTTGACTTGACAGCTCGTAGACACTTTTTCTGCAGACATTATAAGTTGTCCACTGGTCACGAGGGGGACATGGGTTGATGTACAAGGAACATCAACAAACATAGAGGGTACATCAACTCATGAGCCCCGAGGGACCTGTGAACAACGTATTTATCTTTCCGAACATCTCAATGTTAATTTTGTACAGTTTGAAGCACGGGTATTGGATCATAATAAGGAGTACAGGAGATAGGCAACAGCCCAAACACTACTAATACGAAGTACCAAACGATTTCTCACAGTTCGGCATTACCAGCGGGTAACATGAAAAATGTTACTTGCTTGTAAGCGGGGTACATTGATTAGCTCAGCCAATCAGAAAACGACATTTATGTGTGAGGGAAGATTAATGGGATTTGTTATGTACAAGCGTTGACGAACTGCTTTACTCTGTTGGGTTTGTTCTGAGATTTTGTTCTGACGGGATATACTAAGGTGCTTTACGAACATCATAATATGCATGCTGGCAATGTGTTAAACAGTGCAAATAATACAAGAAAACAGGTTGTAACACTGTCATTTGCACCATTAGCCGTGAGCTCGGCCTAAAATATACACATCTAAATCACAATGAACAAAATAAAAACAAAATGTCATTTTCATTGATTTATTTCATGAAATATGGCATATCGTGAATATTACACATCTACTATACCATTCAAAAACAAGTAGGGGATATTCCATTTTTCGAGCATACCACTAGCCAATGCCAATGCATATGAGAAAAAGTAATATATATCCATACAGATGAAACATTTCCAAAGGAATGGAATAAATTGTCACATTTTCCCTTAATTTCTCTTCATCATCTGTTTCCTCCTTGGCTTCATCATTTGCATTTTATCAATCTTGTAAATCCAATATCCCCTACTTGTTTTGAATGGTATATAATCGCTTATAAATAATTTGATATTTACGGTTGTATGATTCAAAATGATTAACATAACCGAAAACTCAATCGTTTTCGGAATTTTGCATATTTTAATAATTTGAACAAAGTAGATATAAATGTATAAATATAGACGCTACATATTCTTTTGTTTTGAATTATAATATATATGCCATTGACAAATTATGCACAATTTAGAACGTTTGCTTGCCTCTGTCTGCTTCAAGGTCAGGCATTAATTAGGTCGAGTCGGATGTGTCATTTCCGGACAAGCCGAATTTGTATCTTGGCATCAGCAGTTCGATACAGTGGGTTTGTATTGTATATATTGCTGTCGGCAATAATCAAGCAGTATTTTGTTTAAAAAATAAACCTAAAAATAACCCCAAACACATCCATACACCATCGAAGTAAAGGGCACATGTATATAGTACAGCATATACGATTGAGTGAGTGAGTGAGTGAGTTGGGTTTGACGCCGATTTGAACAGTATTTCAGTTACATCATGTCGTGTCACCTTGACCTTGTGGGGTGTCCCAGAGTAATGAATGTGTAAATCATCCCCCCCCCCCACCCCACCCTTTCTCCTCTTTACCATCTTTATACTGAGAAGGTTGGGGCGGTGGGGTGTGCCATTATTTCGTACCCCAGTGTTCAATGAACCACTTTATTTTTGCACAAAATAGCCTAGAAATCAATATTTTTTGCTTTTTCAGGCAAATGACATTCACACATGGTATGTGTGACATTATTTCTTATCCCAGTATTCACTGAACCACTTTATTTTTGTACAAAATAACTAAGCCTCGGATGACGTTTAACAAACTGTTGCACGAATGAGTGATGGTTATATCAACATAATGAACTAACGAACTTTAACATTAGTTTTTTCAGCAAACATAAAATACACCCTCAGTGTACTTTCCTTTGCCCATATAATTACGTGTAATATATACTGACTGACTGAGTTTGGTTTTACGCCGCTTTTAGCAATATTCCTGCAACATCACGGCGGGGGACACCAGAATGGGCTTCACACATTGTACCCATGTGGGGATTCGAACCCGGGTCTTCGGCGTGACGAGCCAACGCTTTAACCATTAGGCTACCCCACCGCCCCAGTGTAACATATAGGTCATAAGAATATAAAATATATAAACATGATATAAATTGAATGAAGTAGAAGGCAGTATGGATATGCAATGATTTTTGCGATTATATAATACTATCAGTAAATTAACTCAATATGTAAAGTTTAACAATGAACCATCTTTACCTTCCATTCTTTCAGACTATTTTCGAGGTACTAGGTTCGATTCGGACAATTAAACCTCGTGTAACACTATCGGAATCCATTGTGGAACATTTCGTTCACGTGACTATTACGTGACGCAACACAAACTGGTATCGCGGAAACTGTTTAATTTATTATTGTCCGTCTTTGTCTTCAAATCATTGTTAGACCTACTTTTTGTTGAGCACAGATGAACATGGTTTCGTCATGATATAAGAAATAAAGGCAGGATCTGGTAATACGCTTTTCTATTTGCAGGACACTGACGATTTGAACGCACTTTTGAGGGTTGAGGGTTTCCGGTGTTGCTGGAGGTAGTGAGCTCGGTAAGACTGGTCAGCTGGCCCCCATTTTGCATCTGGTATCATGGCCATCTTGATCCTCTGAAATACACCACGTGTAAATGACGATAATAATACTGTTATTATTATCATACGAAACAAGATTAAAAGCTTATGAAAACGTATTAACTGCTCACTGCCATGTTGATGGTTATTTGATGCTGGCCAAACCGAAACATGAGTCTCATTAACCTATTCAGACAATGACCTACTTTTCAGCCGATCCGAATTTTCTCGTGTGAAAGTGAAAATAGACATCACAAACAACTATGGTTACACTGAATTCCAATTCCTTGTTTCATAAGAAAATGGTATTTACAACTGAAATTTAAGTTTAAACTTTAGTAACATCGTATTTCTATGTTTTATGGCGAGGTGTAGGCAGCATGACCTTAACTTAGACGTCACAGACTGCCCCTGTTTGATGAGGTCGTAAAATGATTCACAATGCATCTGGCTCACTGGTTACACCTGTTATGTGTTTTTTTGCGCTTATTCAATGTAGTTCTGTAACGCACAATGTATCAAGTCATTACCAGATCGCCAAACTTTTCTAGCGTTTTGAGACTTTCCAGGTTTCTGTTAGTCAGTGCTTGTCTGTACGACAGAGCTCGCTGCACGACATGTTTGCAAGGATAACAAGGAGGGTAGTGTTGCAATGCACGAGTGCTTAGATGTATCATGCTATTAATCACTGGATTGTCTGATCCAGATTCGATTATTTATAGACCGCTGCCATTTAGCTGGGATATTGCTGAGTGCAGCGTTAAACATCAAACATTTAGTCGCCTCTTATTACAAGCTTAAGATTGCGGGAGATAAATTGTAACCCTCACAATTGAGGTCTTGTACTCACCTGCAACAGATTTCCCTCCTGTTTCTTAACGGCGACCACCATCATCACAAAGAATGGAATTAACGGAAGGGCCGCGATGAACCACCCAATCACAGTCGTGTAATAAGGGTACACATACTTGCCGTATGTCGGCGGTTCGTATTGAGTGAATGTGAAGATAAGTGTTGTCTGGAAAAAGAAAGTACTTTTTGGCATTTATACGGTATATAATACGAATTATATGGTGGCAGTGATCAGCAAATCTCATTATATTTATTTTATCTGCTTCTACATTGGCGGATCCAGAGGGGGGTTCAGGGGGTTGCCCCTCCCCCCCCCTTTGAAAATGACTTAAGACCACATTGAAGATATTTTTGCGTTGGCGGAGCCAATGGGGTGGGCTCCCCCCCCATTCAAAATTCCTGGATCCGCCCATGTTCTACGTACTAATTATTTCAACTTTTTATTGTTATTCTCTTTATAACAATTCCACAACTTTAATTCTAAAAAAAATCAATCACATCAACTTCCGTAAGAAAGCATAATGCATGCACATTGATAAGAGCTACACAGTTTGTGAAATTTCAGCATTAATAAATTTAAGAATAAGAATACAATTTTAGAGTAAAAATGAAATCAAGGATTAAACGCTGTTGTTAGTGTGTGAGTTTGACAGAAATGCTATTAATGGAAGAAAGTTGTTAGCAAGTGCTATCATCTAACCAGAAGCATGGCTGGTGTGACGTAACACCACGTGATCTTGAAGAACAGAGGAACTTGTCTGCCAATCATCATCTCAATGTCGTCGCTGAAACGGTCAATTCCTGGAAGCAATAAACACATGTATAAATGTCAAGAAAATATATTTTTGTAATTGTCTAAAAGGTCTTACAAATATCTGTGAACATATATGTAAATGTCTACAAATAATAACATAAATGTCGTAAAACACCTATGTAAGTGTCTGTGAACAATTATGTAAATGTCGACAAACACGTACGTGAATGATCTTAAATGGCACACTTTGATGTCATGGAGTGGAAGCCATAATGGAAATTACATATTTTTTGTGCCCGTTTTTGATATGTTAATTTTAATGAATATAGATCACATCAAATTGTATTAATCTTACACTGATTTTGCACTTCATTTGAACACGGCCAAATAACGTACACGGTCGTGTCAATGAAAACAACAACAACTGATTGGGACTATAGAACAGGGAGGTGTTCAGTTCTCGGCACATCATACCATAGATCCAGGCAATTGTTACACACTCCAGTAGTCCCGAGAAGATGAGGAAAATGGCGACAATGTACCAGTCCAGCAGCTGGAACACGTATACTCCGCCCTGAAAAGGGTATTGGGAAACCATTTTAAGCGGTAATTAATTTTCATCAAAGAATCTCAGTCAGACTGAGAACCTGTGGTCAGTTTGGCTTGACCCATTCTATGCATATTCTGTATTTTCGATTAGATGAGATATGTTTGGTATGTTTGGCATGAGGAAGGTCTTATGTTGCTTTCAGCAATATTCCAGCAATATCACGGCGTAGTACATCAGAATTGGGATTCGTGCTTTGTAACCATGTTCGGAATCGAACTTGGGTCTTTGGCGAACGCTTTGACTACTCGGCTACCCTGAGCAAAATGTCTGATGATAATGTGACGAAATCCCTGATGACATGTTGAAAAAAATGTTGAAGAAATATATGAAATATATAAAGAAATGGATGGCGATGTGTTGAAGATGTGTATGATATCAGGTCAGATAATACGTGGAAAAATATCCGATGATATGCTGAACAAAACTCTGATGATATATTGAACAAAGATATGATGATGTACTGGACAAAGATATGATGATGTATTGAACAAATGTCTGATGATGTATTGAACAAAACTCTGATGATATTGGACAAAGATATAATGATGTATTTAACAAAGATATGATGATGTATTGAACATAGATATGATGATGTATTGAACAAAACGTTGACGATATATTGAACAAAACTCTGATGATGTATTGAACAAAGATATGATGATGTATTGAACAAAGATATGATGATGTATTGAACAAAGATATGATGATGTATTGAACAAATGTCTGATGATCGGATGAACGATGTCTGATGGTATCTTGAAGAATACCTATTGATATGTTGAGAACTGGTTTAAGAATATATGATGATATCTTGAGAGCTGGTTCAAGAATATCTTATGATATGTTGAAAAATGTCTGTGGATACGTTGAAGAATGTCTGATGCTGTGTTGAAGAATGTCTGATGATATGTTGAAGAATGTCTGATGAAATATTGGGAGCTGGTTCAAGAATGTCTGATGATATGATGAAGAATGTCTGATGATATGTTGATGAATATCTGATGATATGTTGAGAACTTTTTCAATAATGTCTGATTATCTGATGACATGTTGAGAGCTGGTTCAAGAATATCTGATGATGTCTTGTCGACACATACCTCAGTCGTCATCACGAGTCCAAGGAGGAATGACACAATACAGTAGATTCCATTCACTGTCACTCGCCATCTTATCAGTTTGGGATATTCATCTAAGATGGCAGTTACCACAGTTTCAACCATTGAGAACTGAAAAATGGATTCAAAAGTATTTCAAAGTGAACATGAGACTGGCTTCTTATCATGCATGGTCTAATAACATCCTGTCAAACAGTGTTTTTTCAACATCTATTGTTCGAGTGTGGAATTCAGTAACTATGTCAATTATAGAACTAAAGATATATCTTGATGCAATTATAACCAGATTATTAGAATAGGTAGGAAAGGGCTAATTACCTTTAATAAAGGTTGTCAAAAAATCAATGCAATATAAAAAGGTCGTATGACGTCATACATAATGACGTCACAGTATGACGTAATAATACGAAACTAAAATGGACCGAGAAATGAAACTTTTTCAACCAACAGCCCATCCATATATGTGGGATTTGCAAAATTACTGACTGCACTAAAATATCATATCTTGTGACATACATCATTTTGATAATTTCTACAACCCCGAGGCATTATATATTCCTTAGCAAGAGTGTTCATAGTTGATTAGTTGATGATGTTCCTAGTCGATGATGTTCCTACCAGCGAGTCGAGTGACAGAAGGATGAGCATGATGAAGAACAGGACACTCCACAGTTGCGGCAGCGGGAGTTGAGATAGGGCTTCTGGGTATATAACAAAACCCAGTCCAGGTCCTGCAAAATATAATTTATACTTGACTACTTACATACAAAGTATAATATGGAAAAGAAGATAAACGTCATATAGTGTATAATATGGAAGTTAATATATACTCATAGAAACGAATAAGGGAACAGATGAAAGTACAAGTGTTCCTTTATTCTTTTCCAGGTTTCTTCACAAGGTATGTATTGCACAGTGAGTGAAATTCTGGAAATAAATAAAGGAACACTTGTACTTATGTGTTCCCTTATTCGTTTTTATGCGTATATTTATCACAAAAATCGACAAAGGCATCACGCTTCTTAAACGATTGAAACATCCTTTCTCATGAGAATATATTTTTCATATATACATAAGATATTTTTTGTTGGTAATTGGTAAATTGGTAATTAAGTATTGTTCTTTTTTTTTGTTACATTTTACAATTCAGTGGTAGAAAATAATAACAGCCAGAAGGTAACAAACAAGTTTGTTTGGAAACGAAAACTGGTTATTCGTTGTCCGATGCAATACCCTATTATGACTTGTACCTGCGTGTTTGCAGGTGAACAACTGACTTATCTTTATGTAAGGTTATGCCGAATACCATCATTGATGCAGAATATGCTCACCTTTTTGCGAACACCTTGTTTCCTCACTATTTGATAGTGATTCATAAACACATGCTTATGAAGGTTTTGAAAGGCATTTTTCGAAGTTGGACGAACATGAATACATGACACGTTTTATGGATAACAACTTCTTTTTTAATCTTTATACGACGTTTCAGAGATAATTCCGACGCAGCATTCAGTTGATGAAGGAGCAAGAATTAGCTCTGAAACGTCGTATAAAGAATAAAAGAGAAGTTATTATCCATAAAACGTGTCATGTATTCACATGCTTATGATATAAGTCACAATTGTACAGTGGGCTCTCATGATTCTGGAAATGGTTCTATTGATATATATACATGTATAGTTTACCTGACGACACAACATCTGCTATTGGAACATTCGCCTCATGAGCCATGAATCCCAGGATGGAGAAGACCACGAGACCAGCAAACAGACTTGTTCCTTCACACACAAACGTGCAAAAAACCGCATTCCTAAATTCAGGAAAAAATAGGAATTAATATGTGAACTTAAAAGGTGTCAGAATCGTATCACTGAGTGATCTTGCCATTTCACATGATAACAGGACGCAACAGCATCTCATTATGAGCTTCATCAGGTGTTATCGACGGTAATTAACATTTAAACACAAATGTGCATGTATAATTTACTAACGTTGAAAGACAAATAATTATTTGAACAATATCCTGATCTCTCAGCCACTATAACGACACTCAGCTCAGCAATTACAATTCTGCATAACAAAAAATAGCAACAACAGTACATTATATACAGTAAAACCAGAAATTATTGAGAATTTAAAGACTGTAA